GGGACGGACGTTTCCCCCCCCCCAGCCAGCAGGGTGGGGTCGTTGGATTTCGAAGAGGAGCTGCCGACCAGCCCCTCACTCCCAACGTACAGTCGGGGCCCTGAAGAAGGAACGCTTTTCGTTGGGGAGGGGCTCCGCGTTCCTCAAGTGTTTCACAGCTTGCCTCAGGTTTTCCTTATGTCTTCGATAGGAAATCGAAGTTTAACTCATGGAAAAAAAGGGGCCTCGTTCCTTATTTAGGGTTCCTTAGGTCAAGGCCCCGACTGTACCGCGTCCGCTGGGCCCGAGGATCTCGAGTGCTGGCGCTCCCTGGGGATCCCGCCTGCCGTGCCTGCGACGAGGGACGACTGCAGACCGCGGCCGCCGGGCCCAATGTGTGCCGGTGCCCCCTGGGGATCCCGCCTCGCCTTCTCGGCTGGGGATCTCCTCCCTCCTCCTCCTCCTCCTCCTCCTCCTCCTCCTCCTCCTCCTCCTCCTCCTCCTCCTCCTCCTCCTCCTCCTCCTCCTCCTCCTCCTCCTCCATGCTTGGGTGCGCTGCTTGGCCTCAGACCCAGGGCCGCTGCCCGGCCAAGGGAGCGTCAAGCCCGACCCAGGACGAGAGGAGGAGGTCCCCGGGAAGGGGCCTATTGAAAGGCACGACCTCGCAGGTCCGGGGAGAACGGGTCTTGGAGGAAGTGGTGGTCTCGAAAAAGCAAACACGCCATAAACATGAATTTTCGACGTTCCGCGCAGATTCATTGGATCCGCGCCTGGCCCCCCGTGGCGGCGCCTCCGGCGCTGCCCCTGGCGCGCCCCGCGCGCCAGGGAGGCCCAGCGCGGATCCAAGAAATCCGCGCGGAGCGCCATAAGTTTATGGTTGTTGCGTTTTTTGTTCTGGGGTCCGGCAGGAGTTCTGGGCGCCTGTTTTCCTGGCTCCTGGAGCCCTCCCCTCCTGGGCCCCATGATGCCGTCCACAGGAGCGGCTCAGGACGAAGCGCGCCGGTCTTGGAGAAGGACCCCCGGATCCAGGGCACGCTTCCTCCAGGGTCGGCTCCCTTCAGTCAGAGTTCCGAATTGTCAGGGCTCGGGCTGGTCAGGGGTGTCGGCAGAGTCGCGCCTCGGGAATCCAAACCGGAGCTACCCCGGACCGCAGTTATCCCAGATCATTTGGGCGTCAAGCCCGCCCGAATCATCAGGGTTGGGGACGGTCAGCGGTAGTTACGGGTTCGTGCCTCGGGGGCCCAAACCGGAGTTACCCCAGACCGCAGTTGTCCCGGACAATTCGCGCGTCCAACCTCATGGCAAGGTGGACGTTCACGGCCGGCTTGTACTACCCACCAGACTTCGATGCCTCCAAGCTGGCGCCAATCAAGACCCTGCGGGTCAAGGGGCAGAGCAAGGAGCAGGTGATGAACATCCGCATGATGTTTCCCTTCACGATGATCTGCGACACCTGCAGCGAGTACAACTACACGGGGACGAAGTTCACCGCGCGGGTGGAGACGATCAAGCAAGAGAGCTACTTGGGAATAAAGGTATACCGTTTCTATGGCCGTTGTCGCCATTGTTGGGCCGAGTTTACCTTCAAGACTGACCCCAAGAATTCGGACTACACCATGGAGTCAGGTGGCAAGCGCACTTACGAGGCCTGGAAGGACGCGGACATGATGGAGTCCATGATCAAGGCTGAGAAGGAAAAGGAGGCAGAGTTGGATCAGATGAAGGCGCTGGAGCAGAAGTCGATCGACGTGCAGTCGGAGATGCAGCGGCTGGAAGACCTCGACGCCATCCGCACGATGAACAAGAGGCTGGGTGCCCGCGAGAAGACCATCGAGGAGGCGCTCGCCATGCTGTTCGAAAGAGACCAGAAGAGGGCGGAGACGCAGGACGACATGTTCGAGGAGGGCGACCGGGAGCAGCTGGCGGCCTTCAAGGACCGTCGAGAACGGCGAAAACCTGAATCTTACACCAACACGATGAAGGCTTGGCCTCACTTGGGTCTTCGCCCTCGCAGTAGGGATGTTGATTTTGCGGTTTGGTCAGACACACCTTCAGAAAAAGACACTTTCTCCCTAATGTTTCTGGCCCTCCCAACTGGGGTCCCCTCCCAGAGTGTTGAGAGTACTGCCCCAGGCCCCCTACGTCATGGATTCTACATGACGTGGAGCCCCAGCGGTCTGGACCCATTCCTCGGGACTGTTTTTTCGTCCCGAGTCGTGTTTTGACGGTCCCGAGGGTCGGAAAAGGCCACCAGAGGCAGACAATCGCCAACAAAATCGCCGCCGCGATTTTTTAATGGCTCTGGCCCTCTCGAGGTGCCATGCGCCACCTGCAGGGCCCGACGTCGAGGAATAAATGGCAACATCCCCAAACCCCGTGAGCTTTTTGGTTAGTTCCTCCCCAGGTGGTAGTATTTGTATTAATTGTTTTCCCGATCGGGCCGGGCCCTCGCACCCCCGTCTCCCCCTCCCCCATGGAGTAGATCTCGGCTGTTTTTGGCGCCTGCTTCAAGCATGTGGAGTCCCCCCAGGACGCACGGCTCCAAACAGTCGCACGAAGCAGAGGTCCGGAGCCAGAACCCCTCCCCCTCCCCCCCCCCCTTCCGCCCAATGTCGGAACGCCGCTTAAGAAAACCCTCTTCAGGGTAACAGAGGTCCCGACCCCTCCCCCAGGGGGGGTGGGGGCGTTTCTCGTCCCCGCTATTCGTTTTGGAGGGCCCTACAGGCCCGGCCACGGGCCTCGCGGAGGCAGCAGCCCAGGCAAGAGAGCCGCATGGAAGACAGCATCCCCTCGGATCTCTGGCCTCTCTGCCCCCCCCTCCCCCTCCTCCTCCTCCCCCTCCTCCCCCACCTCCTTCTCCTCCTCCTCCCCCTCTTCCTCGCCATTCCCTTCCTCCCCCTCTCTCCCCCCCTCCTCCCCCTCCTCCTCCTCCTCCCCCTCCACCCGCTCCTCCCCCTCCTCCCCCTCCTCCCCCTCCTCCTCCTCCTCTGCCTCCTCCTCCTCCTCCTCCTCCTCTCCTCCTCCTCCTCCTCCTCCTCCTTCCTCCTCCTTCACATCCCCTCCCTCCTCCTCCCCCTCCTCCCCCTCCCCCTCCTCCTCCCCCCCAACTCCCCCCTCCTCCCCTTCTCCTCCTCCTCCTCCTCCTCCTCCTCCTCCTCCTCCTCCCTCCTCCTCCTAGCCTTGGCTCAAGCCGTTCTGGCCCAGGTGTTTGGGCTTGCTGCAGCTGTCTCCAGAACGGCGCCGCTGCAGCGAGCCAACTTGGCTAACCGTGCGTCGCTCCAAGGGAGCGCAGAGTTTCACAACGAGGAAGGTGCAGCGATGGCGCCCGAGCCGCCGCCCACACCCACGGTGCTCCGTGGGCCGCGGCGGCCCTTTTGGGCGTGCGGGAGGTGCTCAACCGCGGCGAACTGGGCATCTCGCATTCGTTGTCAGTGTGGGAATGAGGCGCCGCTTCGGATCAGGAACGAGGCCTGGAAGGCCCACAAGGCGGCGACCGCTGCCTTGCCTTCTGGTCAGTCGGGGGCGCCTCCTACGAAGAGCAAAGGCAAGGATGACACCAGCAAGAGGCTCGCGGAGATGGAGAAGCTCATCAGGTCGTTCTGCAGCAAGGGGGAGCCGCCGCCTGCTGCCAGCCCGACAGTTGCTCCGTGGGCCCAAGGTTCCAAGCCGTCGTCGGACATGGGCCCGCTGCTCGAGTCTGATGATGAGAAGGTCAAGCGTGAGAAGCTCACTGCGCTGCTGGGGCAGTACGAGACGGTGCTCAAGAGTCTTCCTGGGCCCGACGAAGACCCCATCCGTGCTGCGACGATCGAGAAGATTAAGAGCATCAGGGAGCAGCAGAAGGCGCTGCGCACACCTGCGATTGCGCATCGCAGGGCGGCCCAGGACTTGCATAAGGCCCGCTTGGCCCGTGCAAAGATGGAGGCCGAGATCGTGGAGAAGACCTCGCAGATGCAGAAGCTGCAAGAGACGATTGACGAGCGCAGGCTGCAGTTGGAGGCGAAGAAGCTCGAGATCGACAAGCTCGACGAGGAGTACAAGCGGACGGCTGCTCTCATTGCGCAGTCGGACGGGCAGCCGAAGCCGTCGGTCACGATCAAGCTGGAGATCAAGCCGGAGGAGACACAGGATCCTGATGTTCAGGCCTTCCTCGGGTCGGATAAGTGGGAGATACTCAAGCCGATCATCCTCGCGAAGACCGGGCGGCCCTCGCAAGGGGGGCCCGACCATCCTCCTGCTGCTGCTGAGCCTCCTGGGGGCGATGTGGCCGCGGGGGATGACGACATCGACATGGGGCAGCTCAACGGGGACGACTTCGAGGCTCGAGCGGAGGCGTTCCGAGCCGCGGCAGAGGCCCTGCGAGCTGCTGAAGGTGCTGAAGCCCAGGCAGACGCCAAGCGGCAGCTGCTGCACGCCCAGGAGGCCCTCGGGGTCAAGCGCCGCAGGCAGGGGCTTTAGCAAGGCGGCGAGGCCACAGCGTGTGCAGCAGCTGTGGAGGCTGTGGACTGTCAACTCGAGCGCCTGGAGCTCTTTCCAGGGCTGCTTGGACTGGCAGAGGAGTTGGGGGGACAGCGCTCGGCCCCATGTGTGTTTTGGACCGGAACATCGGTTGAAAGATCTCACCAAAGTTCATAGTGCGGCAGGCTGGCTCCGAGTTCGCGGCTATCACGGGGCGTTCGGCAGGGCGAAGTCCACGGGACAGCTTGCCACGGAGTCGTCAGGGGGAGTTCTGACGGCAGTCGCGTCACACATCGCTTTCGCAGGCTTGAGCCTCAAGCATCTCGGCGTTCAGTCTGGGTATTTCTCGAGGCTGAAGCTGATTCGGGCCAACATGGCCTTCCCCCACGGCCTGCTGCTGGGCTCGGTCTACGGGTTCGTGGACGCGTCCGACAAGGTGTTCACATGGGATATGCTGGAGGACTTGGGAGTGTTTCTGCGTCGGTCCAGGTCACCGTGGATTCTCGCAGGGGACTTCAACTTGCCGCCAGAGGATATCAAGCTGTGCAAGTGGGTAGAGCTCCTCAAAGGCACGATCGTGGCCCCAAGCGGTCCGACTTGCTTTGCGTCCAAGTCAGGGTCCACGATTGACTACTACATCGTTAGTCAGGGGTTGGCCAACTTTGTTAGCGATGTTCGCACGGTATACGGTACCCCTTCGTCGCCTCACGTCGCTGTTGCCATGCAGCTCAAGGGCCCAACTCTGAACATACCGCTTCATGTTCGCAGGACATGGAAGCCCTTCCCCACTTCCCAGCGGACGGGGCCTGTGCGGAAGCCTGCCGAGCACTGCTGGCCCTGGCCCGCAGGGGTGCTCGCAGGTGTTCGGCTGGAGGATGCGTGGTGCCAGTGGCTGAGCAACATGGAGCTGGAGCTGTGCAACCAGTTCGACATCGTCGGTGCTGGGCAGAGAGGCTTCGTCGGCAGAGCTGACGGGTTCGAGCGTCGGCAGGTGCCTCTCTCCGTGTCGGTGGAAAAGGCGGCGTTGTCTGGCAGTGGGGCCCAGATGCGAGCCTGGAGGTCGCTGGATGCTATTTTATCCAGGTTCCAGGCGCTCCAGGACGACACCGTAGGTGCCAGCGATGAGGCAGCTGTGCATCCGTCCTCCACGTGCTCAGGTGGTGCCTGCGATCGACGTGAGGCGCACACGGGGGAGCGGCCAGCGGCGCCCAGCGTTGAAGGGCTCAGCACCGAGGGTCCGTCGCTTTCCCTGGGATCCATGGGCTTTGTCCTGCCTGACTACACGTCGCCGTACTCGGGGCCGACGCCGCTGGCTGCTGCTGCGGCCTGTAAGTCGGGGAGGCCCATGCCTGGGTGCGAGGTCTGTTCGGCTGGAGCTGAGGTCCAATCGTCGACAGACCTGGCTCCTGCAGACCCCCTGGGCCGTGAAGGTGGCCAAGGCATTAAACCAGGGGAGCGTCTCAGGGGCCAGGTCGGAAGGCAGCATGGTCGCAAGGGACGTGTCCGAGGCGATACCCGTCTTCGCCTGCTGGAGGAGCTGGACCACCTCGACCTGTCGACGCTGACGGGGGTCAAGATCGTGGAGTTCGACCTGCACTCGCTGCGCAGCGTTGCGGAAGCGGGTGGGGAGGACCTGGCCACCCTGGCGACCAACGTCCATCAAGCGGCTCTGGAGGCGTCCCAGGCGGCGGCAAAGGTGCAGCTGCAGGAGTGGAGAGAGTGGGCCCAGTCCGCGGTGAAAGCTGGTGGCCGTCGTGCTCACAGGTACCTGAAGGACTTGCCGCAGGTGAAAGGGCCAGTGGCTCCTGAGGGCTGGGCGCTGCAAGGGGACGCGGCCGTGCAGGCAATGCACATGGAGTGGTTGCAGTACTGGGGAGACGCCAAGGAGAGCATCTCACAGATCCAGGCAGCAGTCGCGCAGAGAGATGAGTTGCCCAGGCCGTCGGCTGAGCGAGTTCGCGCGGTGTGCCGCTCCTTCCCCCACCAGGTGGGCTGCGGGGTGGACTGCGTGAACCCGCGCTCCTTCGACCTGCTCGACGACGACTTCATGGAGAGGCTCGTGGACCTCATGGTGCTGCGGGAGGCCGACCCGCAGCTCTCGGACAGATGGCCGACTCTGATGGTCTTCTTGGGCAAGCCTGACGGCTCGGGAGTAAGGCCGATCGCCCTCATCTGCTCCATCCTGAGGGTCTGGGGCAAGGTGCGGCGAGAGGAGGCCAAGCTCTGGGAGGACCAACACGCTGCTGGAGTCTTCTGGGGCGTGCGAGATCGAGAATGCGACAGAGCGGGCTGGGTGCACCAGACAATGGCGCACTATGCGCGCAGCAGGGGCATGCAGTCAGCCACCTTGGCCACGGACTTAGATAAGTTTTACGAGCGTATATGTCACGCAGTTTTGTTCGCAGAGGCGGAGGCTGTGAAGTTCTCGACCAGGCTCTGTAGAGCGGCATGCTCGCTCTACTCGGGGCCGCGTGCGGTGTCCTTCAACGGCTGCGTCTCCGTGGTCTTCCACGCCTCAGGCACGGTGCTGGCGGGCTGCTCGCTCGCGACGTGCCTGGCGAGAGTCCTGCTGTTTCGCCTGCTCACCAAGGTCGAGAGCGAGCACCCGACGTCGATGGTGAGGAATGTGATAGATGACATCAGCGTGCAGTCCGTCGGCACGAGCCTCCACGTCGTCAGGGAGCTGGGCGGCGTCGGGAGCAAGCTGATCGATGGCTTGCGCAGGCTGCGTCTTGTGCTGTCGGAGAAAAAAACACAGGTTCTTGCTTCATCGAAAGGGGTTGCTGAGGGACTGGCCAGTGCGTGGAAGGCGTCTTTCAAGAAGAAGGCTGTGATTAGGAGTCTGGGGACCGATTGGCAAGTGAGCTCTTCTAGGTTGGCCCCCATTGCCTCCAACAGGGTCAAGACTTGCATGCGTAGGTCGACGCGCCTCCGCTCTCTGAGGCGCGCTGGGGCCTATGTGGGGCACATCCAGAGAGCGGGCCCTCAGGCCTCGGCTTTGTGGGGGGCCTCGGTGAGAGGGCTTCCTTGGTCGCAGTTGAAAAGGATCCGCACTCAGGCCCTCTTGTCTCTGGCTCCTGCGAAGCAGGGGGCGTCTGTGGGTTTAAAACTCCGCACGCTTAAGCAGGGTAGGACCATGGATCCCGTTCCGTTGTACTTCAAGCAGGTGGTGTTCGAGTGGGCTCGGGCTGTCTGGGATGGACTCCCCAGCATAACGATCCTGCAGGCGGTTTTTGAGGACGCCGTTCGATCGCTTGCCACCACCAGTCGCCCGTGGTCGAGGGCGACGTCCCCTGCTCACGTGTTTGTGATTGCTTGTGGGGATCTGGGATGGGAAGCGAGATCGGCGCGCCTCATAGTTCTTTCGACGGGCGAGCAGATAGACCTGCTCAGGCTCTCGCCGTCGATTGTTGCCACTCTTGCCCAGCAGGCTGCCAGAGAGATGTCGGATTTTCGTGCCCTTGAGGCTCGTGAGGGTTCGTCGTCGTGGTGTCGGCCGGTGTTTTGGCAGCCGCTGGACTTTTTGTTCGCCAGGAGAAACGATGCCTGGGACAGGACCCATAAGAATTCTCTCAGGGCCGCGGTCTCGGGGACCCACTGGACCCAGGACCGTCTGCAGCGGCGCGGCTTGGCGTCGTGCAACCTTTGCAGGCTGTGCATGGGGGCCCCAGGGACCACGTTCCACCGTAGGTTTGTCTGCGAGGCTTGGGCTGCTGATCGCTCCCTTTTCTTGTCGGATGAAGCGTTAGCTGCAGCCGAGCTAATTCGGCAGCGGGGCGACCCTGGGGAGTTTTTTGCTTCGGGCATTTTCCCGTCTCCCAGGGAGCTGGTCCCCCCGCCTCTTGGGTCCGAAAGGTGCCAGGTCTTCTGGATTCGAAGGCCCGAGGATGGCCTGTTGTCTGGCAAACTTTTTACCGACGGCTCGGCCATTTTCCCCTCGGACCCGCTCCTGAGAAGAGCAGGGTGGGCGGTGATCTCGGTCGATGACACTGGTGCCATGATCTCTGGAGCTTTCGGCCCCGTCCCGTGGGATGTCGCTCCTCTCCAGCTCGCCAAGGATGGCGAGGATTATGCGTATCAGATGCTCGGCCAGATCGCTTTGGACCCCGAGGGCGTTTGGACTGATTGTGCTGCTACGATTTCCTGTGCTCGGTCGAGAGTTCGCTCCACGAGTGCCCGTTGTGGCCAGGCTCACATGTGGACCTCTGTGCATGCGGCCTTCGAGGGTGGGCTGGCTGTCCATAAGACGAAGGCCCATTGCACGGAGGGCGATGTGGAGCGAGGTGTCACCACTCACTGGGAGCGTAAGGCTAGCGCCATAGCCGACGCCCTCGCGAAGCGAGGGGCAGGTCAGCATCCATCGGTCGAGCAGGCCGCCCGTGAAATCGCTGGTTTAAGACTCTTGGGGCGGGAGTTGGGCCAGTGGGTTGGGCGGCAGGGGCTTCTGATGCGGGAGAGGGGATGGGTGGACTCGGAGGGCCTGCCTGATAAGCGCCTGGTGCCTGGTTCGGGCCCTCGCCAGGGCCGCCCCCCTGAGCGCCCCATTCCCCCCGTGTCTGCGCGGTTCAGGGCCGTGCTTTCCGCCACTGCCCAGGCGGGGCCGGGTGACCCTGAGCTTACTATTTTGATGAGGTTGTCTCAGCATAACCTGCGTGTGTGCAATGTTTTTGATCAGACGGGAGCTTCCGTTGTCTCCGCCCCACGTATTGTGTGCTGTATTTCGTGTGGGGCGTATGCGTGGGGCGGGGTCAGGGAGCTCGCTGTCCGTGAATGTCACGGTCACAATGCGGGGAAGGGGCTCAAGCAGCAGCGATCACGGTTGCTCGCGGGTCTCTTCCCCAGGTGGCTAAGCAAGTACAAAGGCTGGAGGGTGAGCTGTCTCGAGAGGCCCGTCCCTGGAGATCTCCTGGACCTGGCTAGGGCTATTCTCGACCGTCCCCAGGCGCGTGTGTCGGCGCCAGCCTCCAGAGCCGTTTTCCCCAGGGGACCGCCTTGGCAGGTTCCCATGGGGCGAGGGCCTCTCCTTGCCCGCTTCGGCCTCACGGTGGACTCGCTCCCGTTCTGGGAGCTGGAGGCCGCCCGTCGGGGCGCGAGGGAGGATGAGGAGTCGGTTTAATTTGTTTCCGTTTTATCCTCGCGGTCGGTTTCTTGGACGCCGTCCGCCCTCGTCTTATCTTACCTCCTCCTCCTCCTCCTCCTCCTCCTCCTCCTCCTCCTCCTCCTCCTCCTCCTCCTCCTCCTCCGTTCCTCCTCCTCCCTCCTCCTCCTGCTCCTCCTCCTCCTCGTCTCTCCACCTCCACCTCCACCTCCTCCTCCCTCCTCCTCCTCCTCCTCCTCCTCCTCCTCCTCCTCCTCCCCTCCTCCTCCTCCTCCTCCTCCTCCTCCTCCTCCTCCTCCTCCTCCTCCTCCTCCTCCTCCTCCTCCTCCTCCTCCTCCCCTCCTCCTCCCTCCCCCTCCTCCTCCTCCTCCCTCCTCCTTCTCCTCCTCCTCCTCCTCCTCCTCCTCCTCCGCCTCCTCTCCTCCTCAACCTGCTCCTCCTCCCCTCCCCCCTCCCCCTCCTCCTCCTCCTCCTCCTCCTCCTCCTCCTCCTCCTCCTCCTCCTCCTCCTTTTCTCCTCCTCCTCCTTCTTCTCCTCATCCTTCTCCTCGGATCTCTGGGCTTACTGCTCCTCCAAGGAGGCCCAGGAGGAGCAGAAGCGGCAGAAGCTGGACGAGGAGCTGGAGAGCGGAGCCCTCCCCGAAGTAGACATGGGCGTGCCCGGGCCTCGGCGGCGCCCCGGGTCGTGCGCGGCCTCCCGCCGCGGGCGGCCAAGGGGGGGGGGCGATGACAAGCTTCGGCGGCGAGCGGAGGAGGAGGAGAAGGAGGAGGAGGAGGAGAAGCAGGAGGAGGAGAAGCAGGAGGAGGAGGGGGAGGAGGAGGAGGAGGAGGAGGAGGAGGAGGAGGAGGAGGAGGAGGAGGAGGAGTGGAGGACGAGGAGAAGGAGGAGGAGGAGGAGGGGGAGGAGGAGGAGGAGGAGGAGGAGGAGGAGGAGGAGGGGGGGAAGGAGGACGAGGAGAAGGATGAGGAGGATGCCTTTCCAGAAGGCTCGGAAGCCCCCCGGTCTTCTGAGAAGTTGTCGTAACTTTCCCCGAGTACCAAACAGAGCGTTATCAGAAGGCAATGATGGTATGTGTCGCGGCCAGGGTAGGCAATCGCTTGCGCAGGTCGGCGTCGGGGGAACCCTCGCTTCGCGCTTGTGCAGCGTTCAGGTCGGTGGGCGTTTGGCAGGCCGTGCTGTAAGGCCCCGTGCCCCTACGACGCCGTCTGCAGGCCGGGGTGGTCTGCAGGCCTGGGAAGGGGGGGGAGAATCGGGTTGTATGTCGGGCCTGTCCCTCTACAGGAGGAGTACTCAAACATAGTCGAACAATAGTCGGGGGGCGATGTTTCGCCTATGTTTTCTTATGTTTTGACTCTGTTGAATTTTCCCTCCGAAATCAGCCTGTAGGACGACATGCCCGACTTAAGAAACCCGGACCGGACAATTGGCGTTTATTGAATGGCCCTGGACGTTTACTAAACAGCCCTGCCCTGTTAAATTCCTTCATTGGGTGTGCTTACTAAACGGCTTCGCGTGGTTATCATCGGGGTGGATTGACAGCCCTCTAGTCTGGAGGGAGGAGGAGCGATACCAACACCACTAGGGGGCCCACCTCCAGCGAGGAGGTCCACGATGCCTCCCCGAGCGAGAGACTGGGGATGTCTCGAGCGGGAGGGGGGACCACACCACCAGGTAGACCCCCTTTGCTCCGCGCATCTCCTCGCCCTGTTGGTGTTGGTGTCGCCTTCCCTGGTTTCTATCTACCCAGACCCCCGACGTCATGAATTTTTCATGACGTCGACCCCCAGCTGTCTGGAGCCATTCCCCAGGACCGGTTCTTCGCCCGGAGTCGTTTTTCGACGGTCCCCCCAGAGGCCAGACAGAATGAAACACCTCCCGTCGTGATTTTTCCATACCTCGAGGGGGTCCGGGTGTTCCGTTTTTCCTTCCTTCCACAGCGCGCCGCGCCAGCGCTGGCCACACTGCCCCCGCGCGGGGGGCGGCGGCCTGCGCGGCGCACGGGCCCTGTGGGGAGCCTGGGCTGCGAGGCTCCGTGGCTCCATCGTGGCGCATCGGCCCCGCGGGCGGCTGCGCTGGGCGGCGCGTCCCGGACCCCTCGAGTCCATTTTTTTTGTTTTAAGCACGACGGGAGGTTTCTCGCGGTTTGCGGCCTCCGGGGGCCCTCACCGGCCCTCGGGACGGTCCAACATCGACCCGGGATGACAGATCGGTCCTGGGGCACGGGTCCAGACCGTTGGGGACCACGCCATGAAAAAGTCATGTTGTCGGAGGTCTGGGTTCTTCTTCGTTGCCGCAGGGGTTCCTGCTCCCTGGGAGCGCTGCATCGACAGGGTGGCCCTGCTCACTCTGCGTTTGGTTTGCCGGCGCTCCTCGCCACGACGCGTTTGGTCCTGCTCTCAGCGAGCGTTCCAGGGCCCCGCCGCAAAGCTCCATGCCGCAAGGGCGCTCCCACTTGGGGCAACCTCAAGGCAAGGGCACTTTTCACTTGGCCATGCCGCAAGGGCAAGTCCATGCCACAATGGCATTCTCCCCGGGTCCCTCCCGTGAGTGCAAGCCCATGCCGAAAGGGCATGCTCCTCGGGTCCCAGCCGCAGGGGCAGACCCATGCCGCAAGGGCATCCTCCCTGGGTCCGTGCCGCAAGGGCGAACCGCAGTGCCGCAAGGGCATTCTCCCCGGGTTCCTGCCGCAAGGGGAGACCCATGCCGCAAGGGCATGTTCCTTGGGTCCCGGCCGCGGAGTGCAGACCCATGCCTCAAGGGCATTATCCTTGGGTACGTGCCGCAAGGCCGAACCCATGCCACAAGGGCATGCTCCTCGGGCCCCTGCCGCAAGGGCAAACCCCTATGCCGCAAGAGCATCATCACAGGGTCTTTTCGGTCTTCTCCGCAGGGGCAAGCTCCCATGCCGCCAGGGTCTTCTCCTTGGGCCCCCGCCGCAGTGGCAACCCCCCATGCTATGATGTTCCAACCTGTCGTAACCTTGATCGCCAGAAAGAACTTCGAGCACCAAGGAAGTGCCGAAACTTGAGAATTTTCAAGCGTCGGGCCTTGGGGGGCGATGCGGTGGGGGCGTTGGTTAAGGAATGCGCTCAGGAGACTCCAGACCCTGAAGGAATCTTTACTTGGTAAAGGCGGCGGTAATTTCCATGGCCAAGCCCCAATTGGTGCTCCGCTGGCTTCCGGACCCTGGATTCCTCATCGAAGGTTTCCTTATCCAATGCCCCCACCGTGCTTGTTCGACACTGTTTCGATACTGTTCTGGGTTCTCGAAATCATGTCTGGGGTGTGGTCCTTAAGTACGATGGGGACAGCATAACCCCCATGCCGCAAGTGCATTCTTCCTTGGTCCGTGCCGCAGGGGCGCACCCGTGCCGAGGGCCTCTTCACTCATCCTGGATCCGCCCCGCAGGGGCGTCCCCGTGCTGCAAGGGCAGTTGGCGCGCCTCTGCCCTCATCTGGGCGCCCAGGGTGCCCATCTGGGAACTACCGCATACAGTGGGGGCGCGCATCAAGGAACTATATGCTTTTCGTCAGGGTATCCTGGGTTTCTTCGCTCCTCGCGCTGCGCGGTGACGTCCCGCAGCCGTGGAAGGGGTTGCTGCGTTCGGGGTGCTCCAGGCGTCCCCCCGGGTGCACCTCGCGCACGGGTTCTCGGGGTCGGGTTTCTTGCGAGGGTTTCTTGCGGCCGCGCCCGCACTCAGGAGGAGGAGGAGGAGGAGGAGGAAGAGGAGGAGGAGGACGAGGAGGAGGAGGAGGAGGAGGAGGAGGGAGGAGGAGGAGGCGGAGGGCGGAGGGTTCAGGCTGCGTTGGTCGCAGGGTCGCCCAGGATGTTCCTCTTAGCGTGCTGGCGCAAATCTGGGCGGCCGGAGGAGGAGGAGGAGGAGGAGGAGGCGGAGGAGGAGGAGGAGGAGGAGGGAGGAGTACGTAGGTGGAGCAGGCGGAGGGAGGAGGAGGAGGAGCAGGAGGAGGGAGAAGGAGGAGGAGGAGGAGGAGGAGGAGGAGGAGGAGGAGCCCGGCGCGGCCGGGTGAGCTCGCTTTGGGGTCCGCTGCCCGGCCGCCAGGAGTTCCAGGGGTCCTGTCTGGGCACGCCGGCCGCCTGGAGGGGCTCGCCCTGTGGCCTTACGTCGGGCCTGTCCCCCTACAGGAGGAAGATTCAAGAAAAGTCAGAAAATAGTCTGGGGACTATTTTGTTTAGGATTTCGAGGCATTCCTGGAGTATTGTTCGACTATTCTTTATTGTTCGTCCCCAATTCCCCCTGTAGGGGGACGCGCCCGACTTAACTGTGGCCAGACGGCCCAGGGACGCTTCGAAATGGCGCTCCTGCCCAGGACCTCACGAGAATCGGAAGCTGGAACATGTACATTACCAGTGGCGGGCTGTTTTTCAATCCCAGGACTTTTTCAGGGTCGGGGCCTTTTGGGGCGTCTTGAGGCGATCTCGGGGGCTTTGAAACCGTCTTGAAAGCTGATGAAATCCGAAAGGCGAATATGCTAAAATTGTGAGTTGTACGAAGCAAATGGGACGATTTCTGTGTTTTGAAGGCCCCTTGGAAAGCTTTTTGGGGTGCCTTGGAGGTCTTTTGCGCCGTCCTGACGCAATTGAAGTCCCTCTTGGAGCGCTCTTGTGCTGTATGGGGCCTCCCTTGAGCCTTTCTCATGATCCCTCGGATGGCTCTGGGTCTGCTGGCAAGGCGTTTGTGGAGACCCGGAAGGCCGGGTGACCTTTTCCATGGACGTCCAAGGGAGCCCGAGAACCCCAGATCCCGGGGGTCCAGTATTTGTTTTTTTGGGGGGGGATGGGTTTCCCCCCCCCCCGGGCTTGTAAAAATATAGGAAGAGGAATCTACCGACGCTTTTTCCGGCCCTGCATTGAAATTTGCACTGGAGAGCGGATCCTGGTGTATACGGGACCCTGGTGTATACATCTGTCTTTGTTTCCTCGGGACATCGATGGAAAAGTATACACCACCCCACCCCAGCGTCGCCAGCTGGGCCCCACGATCGCCCACGAGAGCCCCAAGACAGCCCATAATGGAACCAAGAGGCTCCCCAAGGGCTCCCAGCACAGACCCAAAAGTGCCATGGGAGGTCCCCGGAAGTGCCCAAGATGGGTCCAAAGGGGGCTCCAGCGGGCCCAAGCCCCCCAAGACGGCCCATGAAGGCGCCAAAACGGCCCACGAGGGCCCCGAAAACACTCCCACGATGTTTCCGAATGCCAACATAAAGACCCCCAAGGCATCCCAAAAAGCTTTCCAAGGGGCCTTCAAAACACAGAACTCGTCCCATTCGCTTCGCAAAACTGACAATTTTAGCATATTCGCATTTCGGATTTCATCAGCTTTCAAGACGGTTTCAAAGCCCCCGAGATCGCCTCAAGACGCCCCAAAAGGCCCCCAAGAAACCTTCAAGACGGCCGAGCCGGGCCCCACGATCGCCCACGAGAGCCCCAAGACAGCCCATAATGGAACCAAGAGGCTCCCCAAGGGCTCCCAGCACGGACCCAAAAGGGCCATGGGAGGTCCCCGGAAGTGCCCAAGATGGGTCCAAAGGGGGCTCCAGCGGGCCCAAGCTCCCCAAGACGGCCCAAGATGGCCCCAGGACGGCCCATGAAGGCGCCAAAACGGCCCACGAGGGCCCCGAAAACACTCCCACGATGTTTCCGAATGCCAACATTCATTGATTTTGCTCCCATGACATTTCACATTGTGACCCAGTCGTTGAGGGTCTCGTGGCATGCAGCGAAGGTGCCCGACGATGCCCCGTACGAGTTGCATATGCATGTTCATAGCCTTACACACATAAATTTACATGGACATATGTACGCTGTCTACACACATACAGCAATGTAATTATATTTTATATACCTAGACCTTTTTACTGAACGTGCACGCACGTGCGCGTGTATACATGCATGCGCGCATGTGCGCACGCACGCATTCCGCTTGCGTGCAGAACTCAAAGGACCAAGGTGCATGGCGCGCAGCGCCAATGCAGTCTTGTATATATATATATATATAGAGAGAGAGAGTTCGATTCCCTAGAAAACTGGAATTCGACATCCTTCTGGTTCGATTTCGAACTGGCGCTCCCGCCCAGGACTTCTTCGAAAGAAGGGGTACACACTTCGTCAGCTCGACTGCGCCATGGCGCTCCTGCCGGAGACTTGTCTAGGTGGAAGCACGGAAGCGGTCAAAATTGTCGTAGCGCCGATGTATGGCATGCTCTCTTCTGTCATGCTCCGTTATAATGCTATGCGCTGTTCTGTCCAGTTCTGCCCTGCTCGTCGAAGGCGCGGGTGGCGGGAAACTCGGAGGATACTCGGTGGACCTGGGGATCTGGCGGCCGCGGTGTGCAGGGTGAGCCGGTCGGGAGGTCTGTTCCCAAAATCTAGCGACCCCAGCCTGTTGGGCGAGGAGAACGGGTCGAGACCGCTGGGGGTTCGCTTTAAGGGCGGAAGACATATCCATATCCTCGGCCTCGCGGGCCGGGCCCGTAGGCCGCGATCCCGCGGATGCGGAGCGCTTTTTGGCGGGTGCCCCGCGCGGCACGCATCCGTGCGCCCGCGTACCCGCGGGATCGCGCCCGGGGATCCGGACCGCGAGGGCGCGGATACGGATGTGCTCGCCGCTCGTGATTGCCAAGGCCTTGCGGCCGGTGCCGCCGACCATGAAGGGAGACGACGACGACGACGACGACGACGACGACGACGACGACGACGACGACGACGACGACGACGACGGCGATCCAGACCGCGAGGGCGCGGATACGGATCTGCTCGCCGCTCGTGACTTCGTCCGCCCCGGCAAGGGAGGGGGCATCGAGGGCCAGGGTTGCCCGCCCACGGGTTCCCCCGAAGCCGGTGCCTCGCGAGCCGCTCCAGGGTGCGGCATGCCAGGCCGCGGGCCCTCCTTCCGCCTGCCCACCGGCAGACTCCCAGAAGGCGGGAGGGCGGAGCAGGAGGGCAAGGGGAAGGGATGGAGGGAGGAAGCCCACACTACTCGCCATGCGCTCCAAGCCCACGGAAGACCGAAGGGACACTCGAGGCGCCCCACGCGAATCGGAGGACGGCGACGACGGCGAGGACACGTGAACGGAGGGAATCCGGAATCCGGGAAGGAGCTCACCCTCGCTTGCCCTTCTGCTGCTGCTGTTGCTGCTGCTGCTGCTGCTGCTGCTGCTGCTGCTGCTGCTGCTCCCTCGTCAGCAGCAACCAAGAGGAGGCGGAGGAGGAGGAGGCGGAGGAGGAAGAGGCGGAGGAGGCAAAGGCGGAGAAGGAGGAGGAGGAGGAAGAGGGAGGATGAGGAGGAGGAAGAGGGAGGAGGAGGAGGAGGAGGAGGAGGAGGAGGAGGAGGAGGAGGAGGAGGAGGAGGAGGAGGAGGAGGCGGAGGATGATGAGGAGGAGCAAGTGGGATGGGGGGGGGGTCGTGTGATGTGCTGGCCAGCGCCAGGCCGCCCTCTTCCCTTGAGGGGGGGGGGGCGCCCAGCGCCGCCCTCCACGATTTGATTTGGACCCGCCTCTGCCGCCGCCTGCCCCCCCCCCCCCCTCGCAGCGGGCTAACTGAACCTCGGGTTAAGTCGGGCGTGTCCCGCTACAGGAGGCACATTCAAAGATAACAAAAACCAGTCGGGCGACGAATTGGAAGTACCCATCGGTCGTTGAGAGAAGGCATTCTTGGATCCCCAGGACCCAATCTACTTCAAGCGCCTCCCTACGTCAAGAACCGATATGCTTTTGCTGCGTTTTGCTACTCTCTGGGCGGGCCCGAATCCAATCTACTCTATCCGCCTTCCTACTTCGTGTTTCTATTTACTGATTCCGACCGATGGGTATCGTGTGACTATGTCTGATGACTTTTTTGCTACTTTCAATAACTTTTCGTCCAAAAGCCGCCTGTAGGGGGGGACATGCCCGTTTAAACCTCAGGGCCGGGGGGGGCGAATAACTTCCCATCGGCAGCGCCGGCGGTCGCAGACGCGTGTGTGCCCTTTTTCGGACGGGCCGCGCCCGGGTGCGCAGCGCAGGGGCCAGTGGAACAAAACAGAGAGAGAACGGGGCCGTCCTTCTGCACGGCCGCCCTGCGCGCTCCTTCTGCACGGCTGGGGCGCACCCCGCGGGCCGCCCGCCCCGGGCGGCCCGTTCGGGCGTAGGGGGAACCGCCCCGCCGCGGCCCGCCCGGGGGGCCGCCCGCCAGAGGCTGCACGGGCCGCTCCCTCCTCCTCCTCCTCCTCCTCCCTCCCCTCCTCCTCCTCCTCCCCGCCGCCTCGCTCCTCCTCCTCCTCCTCCTCCTCCTCCTCCTCCTCCTCCTCCTCCCTCCTCCTCCTCCTTCCTCCTTCTCCTCCTTCTCCTCCTCCCTCCTCCTCCCTCCTCCTCCTCCTCCTCCTCCTCCTCCTCCTCCCTCTCCTCTTGCCTCCTCCTCCTCGCTCCTCCTCCTCCTCCTCCTCCTCCCCCTCCTCCTCCTCCTCCTCCTCCTCTCCTCCTCTCTCCTCCTCCTCCTCCTTACCTCCTCTTCCTCCCATCCTGCTCCCCTTCCTCCTCCTCCTCCTCCTCCTCCTCGCCTCCTCCTCTCCCCATCCTCCTCCCCCTCACTCGTCGTCCTCCTCCCTCTCCTCCTCCTCCTCCTCCTCCTCCTCCTCCTCCCTGCTCCCTCCTACCTCCTCCCCCTCCTCGTCCTCCTCCCCCTCCTCCTCCTCCTCCTCCTTCTCCTCCTCCTCCTGGGGCGCCGACCTTTGGCGCAGGCCCGCCCTGCGGGCAGCCCACCCCGGGCGGCGGGCTCGAGCGGCGGCGGCGGCGGCCTCAGCGGCGGGCCGCAGCGCCGAACCGCCGCCTCGCCGAGGTTCGGCAGCGGCAGGGCCTCCGCCAGCTCCTCGGGCGGCGCGGGCGGCGCCCCCGCGGGCGGCGCCTCCGCGGGCGGCGCCTCCGCGAGCAGCGCTTCCGCGGGCAGCGCCAGCGGCAGCGCCAGCGCCGCCTCCGGCGCGGGCGCCGGCGGCGCAGGCGGCTCCAGCGGCGCCGGCGCCGCGATCGCCTCCGCGGTCGCCGAGAGGGCGGCGGCCAACGCGAGCAAGGCGTCGTCGCCGGCGTCGGCGTCGTGCTCGTCGTCGTCGTCGTCGTCGTCGTCGTCGTCATCATCATCATCGTCGTCATTTTTGTTGTTGTACGTTGAATTCTCACTATTGAAAAACTATTACTGTTGACCCCCCTCAAAGATCATTGTGTTTTTGTTCATTGAAGTGCGTCCCCCGGGGCTCGCACCCGGTTTTTTTTGCAGGGAAAGTCACGGACAACAACGGCTCCCGCCGAATACTCCCTCACAAGTTATTCCCAAATTGCGCTCTCGCGCGGGACTTTCTCACAATTCATGTACGCATCGCGCTCTCTCATGGGACGTCCTCGCAATTTGTTCAGACGATTCGCCTGTGGCGCTCGGAAATCACGCTCTCGCTGTGCCTTTTCTCACGATTTACCTGGGAATCGCGCTATCGCTCGAGACCTCCTCGCGATGAATGCAGGACCCACGCTTCAACAACCCGCCTGCTCGACCTCGTCGCCTGGGCCCGCCTTCCTGACCTGCCCGCTATGGGTCTGCCCACCCGATCTGCCCGTCTGGTTCTACGATTTGTTTTCTTCTCAGTGCCCCCCTCCTGCTAATTTCTCTCTCGCTCCATTCTTCTCCCTCCCCGTTCCACCCGTCCTCTCTTCCCTTGTTTCAGGGGCTGCACTAAGTGCACGTGGCAGGTAAGGAAGATATACCTCCAAGGGGGTACGATCGAAGACGACGAGGGCGGGTATCGAGGGTTTCGGATACACGTATTGATTGGCACGTGAGCAGATCGAAGCGAACAGGCTTGAAATGATTATTGTTGTTGTCGTCGTCGTAGCAGTCGTCGTCGTCGTCGTCGCCGTCGCCGTCGCCGTCGCCGTCGCCGTCGCCGTCACCAGCGCCGTCGCCGGTGCCGTCGCCGTCGCCCTCGCCCTCGCCCTCGCCCTTGTCCTCGCCGTCGCCGTCGCCGTCGCCGTCGTCGAGGTCGTCGTCGTCGTCGTCGTTGGCGGCGGCGTCGTCGTGCTCGTCCTCGTCCTCATCCTCGTCCTCGTTGTCGTCGTCGTCGTCGTGGTCGTCGTCGTCGTCGTTGTCGTAGTCGTTGTCGAGGTTGCCACAGTCGTCGTGGAGGTCGTCGTCTCGTCACCGTCGTGGCCGTTATCCTTGCCGTCGTCATTAGTGTCGTCGTCGCCGTCGTCGTCGTCGTCGTCGTCGTCGTCGTCGTCGTCGTCGTCGTCGTCGTCGTCGTCGTCGTTGTCGCCGTCGCCGTCGCCGTCGCCGTCGCCGTCGCCGTCGCCTTCGCCGGTGCCGTCGCCGGCGCCGGTGCCGTCGCCGTCGCCGTCGCCCTCGCCCTCGCCCTCGCCCTCGCCGTCGCCGTCGCCGTCGCGGTCGCCGTCGTCGTCGTCGTCGTCGTCGTCGTCGTCGTCGTCGTCGGCCTCGTCCTCGTCCACGTCCTCGTCGTCGTCGTCGTCCTCCTCGTCCTCGTTGTCGTCGTGGTCGTCGTCGTGGTCGTCGTCGTGGTCGTCGCCGTCGTTGTCGCCGTTGTCCAGGTCGTTGTCGAGGTTGCGACAGTCGTCGTGGAGGTCGTCGTCTCGACGGCGTCGGCGTCACCGTTGTGGCCGTTATCCTTGCCGTCGTCATTTGTGTCGTCGTCGCGGTCGTCGTCGTCGCCGTCGTCGTCGTCGTCGTCGTCGTCGTCGTCGTCGTTGTCGTCGTCGTCGAGATCATCACGGTTGACAGCACTGCCGTCCAAGAGAGGAGAGGGAGCTCGGAGAGGGGATGAGTGTGGACGGCGATGGGGTAATAGACACAGGAGAGGGGGGCGGGAGGAAGATGAGGGACGGGAGGAGGAGGAGGAGGAGGAAGGAGTGAGGGAGCAGGAGCGAGGAGGCATGCGCGAGGAGGAACGCAGGAAGAGGAGGAGCAGGAACGAGTGCCAGCGGCGGAGGGAGGGGAGAGCGAGAGGGCGCAGAGGGAAGAGAAGGCAGAGAAGCAGGAGAGACACCCCCCCCCCCTCCTCCTCCCCTCCTCCCCCTCCTCCCTCCTCCTCCTCCTCCTCCTCCTCCCCCTCCTCCCCCTCCTCCCCTCCTCCCCCTCCTCCCCTCCTCCCCCCCCCCTCCTCCTCCGCCCCGTCGGCCCCCCCCCCTCCTCCCCGCGGAGCCGCGGAGCATTGGGGCCAACTGCTCTAGAGCGTTCTGGAACGCTCTCATGCCTTTCTGACTCGCTGCCAGAACGGCCGCGGCGCCCGATGCCTCCTGCAGAACCGCAGCCACGCGCAGAGGGAGGTTGAGCGGGACGGGGGAAGGCCAAGCTAGGTGTGCTAGCATCACATCTGACGCCCTACCCCTCCCTCTCATCCTTTTTCCATGGCGTATGTAGATCTCCTTTCTGTTCTCACAGTCGGATGTCGACCAGGGCAATGATCCCAAGAGGGCACGCGATGGATGGAAAAGCATGGCGTAGAAGAGCACGGCAGAGCATAGCATGTCACAGCATGGCCTGGCATTGCGTAGTGAAGCATTGCATCACAAAGCATGGCAACGCAAAGCATGGCATCGCACAGCGATGCACAACACAGCGTCGCTGGTTGGCATGGCACAGGATGACTTGGAGGGCAAGTGGCCCATCTACGAGAGGACAGGGCCTGTCCGAAAAGCCGGCTCCACGTCCTCCGCAACCGTGCTTGCCTGCCCAGTGTGTGTGTGTGTGTGTGTATGTGCGCTTTCGAATGGCAAGTGCCGTGCGGAGGCGAGGGAACGAGGCCAGCGCTGCAGAGGGAGCACGTTTTTTGAATTGCCGAAGCGCGGAAACGAGGGCGGCGCTGCAGCGGGAGCACCATTTTGGAAGAACCAGAGCCGGCCGGATTGAAAAAACGCTTGAGAAATACCAGCTGATGAAATGTTGTGTGTAAAACAATGCGCGGAGAAGGCGGGACACTCTGCGGCAAGAGTCAGGCGAGAGAGGAGAGTAGTATTCATATTGTGCAAGTGTTAAGCACACTGCTATCTACAGGTGCAGGGAGTTGTCTATAGATGTATGGGCGGGCCCTCTCTACAGATGTAGGGCCGGCGCTTTCAAAGAAGCCGCCACTTTCCAAGAACCCCCCCCCCCCTGTGCGCGCCGCCACGGGGACCCCGGATCCCGGAGATTCTTGGCTTATCCTTGCCCGAGTTCGTCCCAGCCTTGGCTCCGATTTGCGCAGAGAGTCAGAGCCCCGGATCATTAGGGCTCACTCGGGTCAGGGGTAACTCGGGTTTCGCGCCCTGGGGGCGGCGGCGGTTCCGTCGATGCCGTCCAAGCGTCGATATGCCTCGCGTCGCGCCTCTTCTGCGCGACAGGGTTCGAGCGTGGTTTTGCGCGGCCCGATGGTTGTGTCATGCCTCGAGAAACGCATTGCTTCAGCGCTTCTCTCAGAGGCGTCCGGGGTGGGCGCGAAGTTCGCCATCAAGCGGAAGGCGGTCGCCGACGAGGGCGGCGACGCCAAGAGGCCCCGCGAGGGCACGGCGGGCGGCGCCGCGGCGCCCGCCGCGGGCGGGCTGGGGCTCGGCAGCTACGACAGCGACTCGAGCTGACGCGCACGGCGCCACGTCCCGGCTCCTCCGCAGCCTCGTCAGTCTCGGGGGCGGCAGAGAGGGAGGTGATCAGAGCCCCGAAATCATCAGGGGTAACTCGGGTCAGGGATAACTCGGGTTCGTTTTTCGGGAATCCAGACCCGAGTTAGTTACCCCGGACCCGAGTTACCCCGGATAGTTCGGGCGTCCAGAGCCCCCAAATCATCCGGGGTAACTCGGGTCAGGGACAACTCGGGTTCGTTTTTCGGGAATCCAGACCCGAGTTACCCCGGACCCGAGTTACCCCGGATAGTTCGGGCGTCCAGAGCCCAAAAATCATCCGGGGTAACTCGGGTCAGGGCTAACTCGGGTTCCTTTTTTCGGGAATCCAAACGCGAGTTACCCCGGACCCGAGTTACCCCGGATAACTCGGGCGCCCAAGGTGATGACTAGGATGTCGTGGGCCATGACTAGCTGTCTCGTGGGCAACAGCCCCGCAGTGGGGCTTTGTCCTTCTTGTCATCTTTCCAACAAAGGCCTCCCAGCGGATGCCTCCTAGGCGATGTCTGGATCCCCGGAGCCCGATCCACTTCCCGCCCGAACGGCAGGTCGGGGGGAGGGGGTCGGGGGCGGCAAAGAGGGGGGTGATAATTAGGGGGGGGTGGATGTCATGGCGGGGGCCGTGATAGTTCCCCAGGTTCCATGGCGCGCCTCTTCTTGTTTCAGTACGTCCCTGGCCCCCCCCCCCCCCGTGGGCCGCGCACATGCCGCCGGCCATTGCCTACACCCCGCCCCTCTTGGACGCCCCCCTCTTGGTCGCCCCCGACAGTCGGCGTCACCCCGGCATACCAATACTGCGTGCGCGTCGCCCCCAAACGGGCGACGCGCGCGTGCCGAGAAGTCTTAGAGAGTGTACGCTCCGTGGCGGGCGCCTTCGGGCCACACCGCTCGGGAAACGATGTACTACTAGATGGGTGTGTTAGGTGTTCGGTTCGGACGTGTGCCTTCAGCACGAGCACATCATACTAGTATGTCCTTCTGCTCCCCACGCTCCTCCACAGTCTTCAGGGGCAACGTTGCGGTCCAGAACTTTGGCCCAGCGCATTTCTGGGGCTCCCAGATGTGGTCCGAGCAGATGGGGTCAGGGGATCGCGCCTCATCGCGGATGCATCGCCGATGTGGCTCGATGTGGAGCACGGCTTTCTCCACGCCGACGTCGCCGATGCATCGGCGACGTTGCCGGTGCATCGCCGATGCATTGGCGATGCATCGGCGATGCATTTGCAATGCGGCGCGATCTTCCGACCCCATCTATTCTTAAGTCGGGCCTGTCCCTCTACAGGAGGAACATTCAAAAATAGTCCAAAAATAGTATGGGGATTTTTGAGGGGTATCTTTTGACCATTTTGGTTTTTGTTTATGACTATCTCTTATTGTTCGTCCAAAATCCCCCTGTAGGAGGACAGGCCCGACTTAAATCTACTCCGACCCCATCAAGGAGGCCTCTAGTGCTGCGCCGCCGGTTCCGGCCCACCGCGCTTCGGCGCGACACGCTATCCACGTCCCCATTCCTGAGCATTGGCGTCCTGAGCCTTTCCAAGCTTCCCACCCCGGAGGAGGAGGAGGAGGAGGCGGAGGAGAAGGAGGAGGGGGAAGGAGGGGGAAGGAGGAGGAGGAGGAGGAGGAGGAGGAGAAGGAGGAGGAGGAGGAGGAGGAGGAGGAGAGGAAGACGATAGTTTCGTCGGTTCTCGGCGGTCTCCCGGCCTCGGGATGGCCCCTCTGGCAGCTGCGCCTCGCCGAGAGCGTTCCCGAGCCAGGGCGCGCCCGAGGCCGGAGGCACGACCCGGAGGCCACCCGGGGATAGGCTCAGGGGGATGCATGGGCCTGGAGGATTTCTCCGAAGGGCTTCGGCGACCCGGCCTCCGCCCTCCTCAGCCCTCCTCCTCCTCCTCCTCCTCCTCCTCCTCCTCCTCCTCCTCCTCCTCCTCCATCTCCATCTCCATCTCCATCTCCTCCTCCTCCTCCTCCTCCTCCTCCTCCTCTCCTCCTCCTCCTCCTCCTCCTCCATCTCCATCTCCTCCTCCTCCTCCTCCTCCTCCTCCTCCGCCTCCTCCTCCTCCTCCTCCATCTCTTCTCCTCCCCCTCCCCCTCCTTCTCCTCCTCCTCCTCTTCCTCGTCCTCCTCCTTCTCCTCCTCCTCCTCCTCCTCCTCCTCCCCCTCCTCCTCGGGTCGCCTACGGCCCCGAGGGAAACCGTACACACGGGCCCCCGATCTCCCATTCATCAGGGGGACGAAGAATGACATGAACAAAAAATTGAGAGGTCCGCGCGGATTTCTTGGATCGGCGCTGGACCCCCCTCGCTGTCGGACCCCTATTTTTCATGATCATGGCATGCTTCGTCCCCCTATTCATGGCCGATGCGGGGCCCGATAGCCCTCCCCGCCCAGTGCCGCTCGGTCTCGCCATCGCCGATGTGTCGGCGATATGCACCGCCGATTCCAGGTCGATGCCCCCCCCCCTCCGGGAGCGACACCCCCCCGAACGACGTGCCCGCTCGTCCTCCGCCAACTGGGTCACCCGCGGGGTCGCGGAGGCAGTCGCACCTCGCGCCTCGCGGCCTGGAGCGGCTCGGGCGGCTGCCTCTCTCGCCAAGGGGGGGCGGCGCGAGGGCGGGAAGACAGTCGCGTGTCGCGCGCACCTCGGGGCGCTCCTGCGCGAAGTGAGCTGACCTGTAGGGCGTCTTAGCCCCACGTCCCGGACCTCCGCGCGTCCTGACGGCCTTCTCAATGCGGGCGTTCCGCTGTTTCAGCACACCGGAGCCGCTCTGGTCGGCTTCGGCTCGCGGGGGCTCTCACAGGGCGCCAGGACCGCCGAACAGCGGCACATGGGTGAAAATCCAGTCCCAGGGAAGGAGTCGAGACCTCCGTGCGACCACGTTTCGAACAAGTCACGACGTCGGGCATCGGGGCTTTCCGCTGATTCGTTCATCTCGTGCGCATCCAACCCTCTTCACCCGACATGTCGGTAAGGCGGGCTGGGCATGTCGCGTGAGATTTCCTCTTGACTGCTGATCCTGCAGCGTGGTGTCTCCAACAGTTGCACCGGTGGGCGGTTTCCAAAATGCGGCTCGCCTTGGTGCCGCGCGCATGCACTCCAGATGCTTGCAACAACTACGCGGATGAACGACGGGTCGGTTTCAGCAGGTCGTTTCCGTTTTCACGACGCGAGCTTTCGTTTTACACATTTGCAGCGGTTGCACCAATGAGGCCACCTCATGTTCGGAATGAGGCGCTCGCGTGAGCGCAACGCTCATTCGTCCAAACAGCGTGCAGGGGCTACGTGGATGGAAGGCTGTTCCTTCTTCGCAGTATCTTGTCAGGCCCCATGTTTTTATTGTAGACAGAAGGCACTATACCATGATACCGTCTGTGTGCAACCTGTGACCTAAATCTGGCACAGCTCGTGGCGCATGTAGGCCGAGCTGGCCACAGCCGTGCTTACGCGTGCGAGCAGCCTGTGGCGCTATCTACTGGCGCGGACGGGCCGCGCAGGCCGGGCCGCCATGCCGCTAGCGCGCAACCTATGCCGCAACCTCTGGCCCAATTTGAGGATCGACCCCAGGCGCGCAAGCTTTGTTATCCACATCTACTGCGTCTTGGAGTTTCGGGCTCCCTCCCTCCGATACCAGAGGCGCCGTGGAAATGGACAGAACAGTTTCGCCCCTAGAGGTCAGACTTCTATCCATATCCACTGCGCCGCGGCCCGTTGGCGCCCCTTCCCAGAAAGTTCGAGACGCAGTGAATACGGATATGAGTCGTGCCCGGACCCTGGGCGCCGCTTCTGGCGCAACCTCCGGCGCACCCCATGGGCACAACGTGCGACCGCACGCGCAAAACGCGGCGTGGCGCCAGGCCGTGACTCGGGAAAAAGCGCTGCCGCCGTGTGCTCTGGCCGTGGGCACCGGAGCGCTCTGCTGGCGCGCCGCCCCGCGGACGGGCCGCTCCGCCCGAACTCCTCGGTGGCCGCTGCGCCCAGGGCCGCCTCGCCCGAGCGGCTCCGGCGGCCGACCGCTTCGTTGGCGGGCCGCTCCGCCGGCGGACTGCCTCGCCCAAGCCGCTCCTCCGTGGACCTTTGCCTCGCCGGCAGACCCTCGTCGCCCGCGGACCGCTGCGCCCGGGACAGCTTCGCCGACGGGCCGCTTCGCCGCCATGGCGCCTCATTGTTCTTGCTCTCACCGAGCGCGCTCCACTACTCGCAAAGTGCCTACTTACTCGCAGACGTCCGGGAAATCACACGTCTACATCGATGTAATGTACCGTGAATCCCCCATGGCGAATCCAGGCCATCTGCGAGCGGTAGCTACTTTGCGAGTAGCGGAACGTGCTTGCCTATGCTCCTGGCTTCTCGTCCTCATCCTCGTAGCGTCTCTCGTGGTCCAGGTCTTCCTCGTTCATCACCCGAGGCGGGAATTTTCACATGACCACCGCCTGGAGGGTCAGGTTTCGGAGCCTCGGCAGGCGGTGGATATGGAAACATTCGGGCCCCCGGGGGCCGAAATGTATCCATATCCAACGCCCGCTGGGGCACCAGGACGTCGGTTCCCAGGCGGTGAATATAGATAAATCCCCGCCTCGCACATCACCAAGCAATGGACGGGGCCTCCCTCCGCCCTCCGCTCCTCCCTTTTGGCCTTCGGCGGCGCACCGGGGGCGGAAGCGAGAGGGGGCGGGCCTTCCCCGAAGGCAGAAAGGCCTTGTGAGAGGAAGCATGTTACCAAATAATTTCCAGATGTCTAACACATGTGATAAACATGTTGTAAACATATAAAAAAAACAAGTTTAAAGCATGCTTAAGCATTTTCCGACATGCTACGCACATTTTCAATTCGATGATAGGACTGTTAGGGTGTCCATTGTCGTGGCATCCACAACCAAAGCCTCTCAGAAGGCCGGAGGCCTTCTGAGAAGCCCCGGCACCTCCTGAGACGGTCTTCTCCTTCGCATTCCCCCCCCCCGGGCGCGCCGCCGAATGTATGTGGTGTTTGGGCCTAAACTCGGGTCTCCCGCGGCCGTTCGGGACAGTCCAGGCACCCCCAGAACGCCCTCGGCGAGGCGCAGCTGCTGGCAACCGTCCCGAGGCTGGAAGACCGCTGAGAACCGACGCAAACGCCAGAGAAAACCTCGAGCCCTCGAGCCCGACGCTTCCCCCTTCTCACTTATCCCCCTCCCTCGCTCGCCGCCGAGCCCTCCCCCGGACGAGAGCCCGCCCGCGATGCGGCCGCCCGGCACGGGCTCCATAGGCTCTGGGCATCCGGGGCGCGCCCCTGTGCTCGGATGCGGCCAGGAGGGGGGCGACGACCAGAGGGGGGGTGGACATCATGGCGGGGGCCATAATACCGGTGCGTGCGACAAGAAGGACCACCCGCGCGCGATGGCATGCTGCGAACGTGCTCAAGAGCGCGACGCCCGGAGATCCTCCCCCGAGAAGTCCGGGCCAGGACTGTCCGCGGTGTCACGGAAGCCTCGCGAATGGGAAAAGTGCAAGGGGCGGAAATCTGGCTCGGCGGCTCAATTCTGCGCGGTCCTTTGCAACGCACGCACCGGTATCTCCCGAGATGTCATGCCGCCTCTTCTTATTTCGAGGAGGAGGAGGAGGAGGAGGAGGAGGAGGCGGAAAAGGAGGATAAGGGGGCGGGAAAGGAGGCGGAGGAGGAGGGAGGAGGGGAGGAGGACAGGGAGGAGGGAGGAGGAGGACAGTAGGAGGAGGAGGAGGCGGAGGAGGAGGAGGAGCAGGAGGAGGAAGAGGAGGAGGAGGAGGAGGAGGAGGAGGAGCGAGGCGGGGGAGGAGGAGGAGGAGGAGGAGGAGGAGGAGGAAGAGGAGGAGGAGGAGGAGGAGGAGAAGGAGGAGGAGGAGGAGAAGGAGGAGGACGAGGAGGAGTAGGACGAGGAGGAGGAGGAGGAGGAGGAGGAGGCGGCAGATGGCCAGCCTCCTGGGCCGCGCACGTGCCAGCCACGATTTGCGCCCCCCTCCTGGACGCCCCCCTCTTGGACACCCCCGAGGCGCGCGGGCGGGGCAAAAGGAGGGGCGCGGGCTGGCCAACCCCGGGAGGCGCGGAGCGATCGAGGATCGAGGCGCCCCCGCGACCCCCTCGCGCCGTGAGGGCATCGGGGTCCCGTTCCCTCCCTTGAGGGTCGAGGATCGTGGCTCCAGGGTCAGGGTTCTCGAGGATCGAGATTCGAGCCCTGCCTCCCTCGCTCGAGGGTCGAGGCTGCGGTTCCCAGGCTCTCTCGTTCGAGGATCGAGATCCCCAAAATCTCAGGATCGGGGCTCCCACCATCAGGAATCGCGACGGAGGGTTTTTGGTCGCTCTCGGCCTCTGGGGGCCCTGGACGGGCCTCAGGGACTTCGTCCAGAGGCGACCCAGGACGAGAGGCTGATCCCCGCAAGGGAAGGGGTGGAGGCCGCCTAGGGTCCACGTTGCCGTTCTGTGGAGGGAAAGAGAGAGAGAGAGAGAGAGAGGGAGCGAGACATCACGACGTCGGGGATCTTGGGTTCTGATATGTTGATGGCTTCTTGTGTAGATCTAGCTCGGCGTCGGGGAGGCTTCACGTCCCCCCGACGTCATGATTGCTCCATGTCGTCGACGCCCAAAAGTCTCGTCACACTCCCCGGGGCCGGTTTTTCGTCCGAAGCCTTTTTTTTTGACGGTCGCGAGGGCCGGCGGGGGCCCCCACCCAGGACTTCCAGAGTCTCAATTCCCAGTATCGTGTGACCTGTCCCGATCCCCACCGGGCCATGGTATTTCATCTCAGCCCCGCCACCCCACCACCCCAGCATTGGGGGTAGGCCCCTCGGAGCCCGAAGGGGGACAGCCTCTGTCCCCATCTACAGGGGGGAGAAATCGGCCAGCCGGGCCAAGCTTTCCAGCCTCGGCCGCACATGTGGCCGCATGTCGTGTCGGCGCTGGGTTCTCCTGTGGTTTGGTGCTGTGGATGCCGATGCCCCTGCCTGCGCACTTGCCGCGCGATACGCCAGCGTGCAAGTTCCAAGACGCCGCGTGGTCCCGTCACGTCGTTGCGACGAACAGAAGGAACCCCCATCGTGCACACTGGACCTCGCTCGCCTCTCCACTGCTGGCCGCAGCGGCGCCGATCATTGAGAGACCTCTATCTCTTCCTGTCCCAGGCAGCGGCTTTACTTTCGACATGTTGCAGGAAGCCAGCCCGGTGTCTACGAGCCGCCTGCGGCTGGGCAAGCTCGGCGTTTGCGTTGGATGGTGTTGGAAGGTTGCCCAGGCTTCCTGGCGCAAGCCTCTCGATCACGCGTTAGAGCGTTGGAACACGGGCATCTTGGGCTTCAGAAGGACTCGGGGCTCTTCAGGTCCTTCTTCCTCTGGCGCCGATCGTCCAACAGAGGACATCGGCGCAACCCGAACCTACTGATGCTATGGATGCGTCGCCCCCGAAGGGGCGACGCGCGCGCGCAGAAATCTCATAGTGTAAACGCCGTGGCGGGCCCTTTCTGGCCATGCCGCTCGGGAAACGATGTACGTCGAGGTGGGTACGCCGTGTGTCGGGGACGGACGCACGCCTCCGAGGTTGGACGCGCAGTAGCAGTATTGTATGTCCTTGTGCGTCCCAGGACAAAGCTTAAGTCGGGCCTGTCCCTCTACAAGGGGGAATTCAAAGATAGTCACAAAAATAATATGGAGACGACGTTTTGACTATCTTTGGGCATCTGCTGAGCATTTCTTGGGTAATGTTTATTTTTCGCCTACAATCCCCCTGTAGGGGGACAGGCCCGACCTAAGACAGGGCTCCCTGCGTGAAGTTCCCTGTGGCAGGACTCTGGCTGCAACGAGGCCTCGAGGTTCGCGCCGCCTCGTGGGCCCCAACGGCCCCCACAGAGTCGACTGCCTTCGTGGCGGGCCCCCGCGTGCGACGGGCGCGAGGAGGAAACACACACAGACACAAAGAATCGCCGACCCCCGGGAAGAGACGGTAGAACATGGGAGGAGCAACGAAACTCCAGAAAATACGGGAACATCTGGGGAATCATGGGGCGTGTGTCGATCTATCTGTGTGTGTCCCTGGGCCCCTTCAGGCAGACGCGATTGTGGCCCCGACCAGCGGCGGCAGGGGTTCAGTTCCGTCATCTCTCTTCGCCGCGATGCCGCAGGGAAGCGGGTCCTAGGCCCAGGGCTTCCCCTTGGGACCGGCTCTTCGTCCTGAGTCTCTGTCCCGGGTCGCTGCAGAGGGCCCAAGCACCCTGGATGTCTTTGCTGAGCTCGTTGCGCGGAGAGTTCCCGCGGCCGTTAAGAAAGGAGCTGCTGCGTTCAGGGTGCTCCGTGGTTCTCTCCAGAAGCATCTCCCGTGCTCTCCAGAAGCATCTCCCGTGCGCGGGTTTTCGGGGTTTGGTTGTTTTGCGAGGGTTTCCCGTGGCCGCGTCCGCATCGTAGGCGTCGCCTGCGCTCCCGTTCTCCTGCGCCACTAGCCGGCGCGCGGGCGCCCAGCGCTCACGGCTCGCTGAACTCCTGCCGCTGCCGATCTTCGGCCATCCTTCGACCGTCGACGCGCTGATGCCCTTCTCAAGGCAGGCCCTTCCTCGGGAGCATCGGACGCTGCGCCAACCTCACGCCCGCGCCCAGCAGCGGGGCCTGGACGGCCTGTGCCTGACCGGCTCGTGGGCGCCTGCACGGCGAAGCGCCTGGGAGGCAGCGCAGGCGCAGCATGATCCAAGTCGATCAGGAGCACGGTGTCGATTGCAACCTGGAGCAAAAGCAAGAGTGCGTAGTTCAGGGTAGCTTGCGCGAGGGCGGCGTAGTATAGAGTTGCTGACCGTTTGGAGCGGGCGCCCGAGGTGCGCTGAAGAACTGCAAGGTCAGTGCTTCTGGGGGCCTTCGGGGGCCTCCGCTGGGGAGCCGCCGCCCAAGCGGTGACCGCCGCCCCACTCATGGCACGTGTTGGTACAGTCGACGCGCAAAGTAGGGATGGACAGTCTTCTCAAGGGTACCCTTGCATCCTTGCCGCCTCGGTCCATCCTCGGCCACTCTCGGTGGCCGCACCCCGCTCAAGAAGCTTCGAAACGGCCTTCCAAGGCCCTTGCATGCTTCACGTGCGTCCTCGTGATACGGGCGGGCTGTACACCTCACAGACGCGCCGCTGGCGTCGGCGGCGGCGGCCGCGAGGACGAGGACGGCGGCGGCGGCGCCGACGACTTCCCCTCGCCGCGGCGTCCCCGCGCCGCGGGCGCCGCCGCCGCCGACGCACGCGCGCCCCGCCGCCCCTTCGGCTCGCGAGCGCGGGCGAAGCAGCGCCAGCGCTCGAGGAGTGCGCCCGCCGACCAGGCGCGGCCGCGCTGGTCGTCGTCGTGGCCGCGGTCGCCGCCGTCTTCGCCGCGGTCATCACCGCCGCGGTCGTCGTCGTCGTGGGCGAAGAGGTCGTCCTCGTCGTCGTCGTCGCCGCGGGCGCTGCCATTTTCGCCGCGGTCGTCGTCACCGTCGTCGGCGTCGTCGTCGTCGTCGCCACTGGCGCTGCCATTGTCTCCGCGGTCGTCGGCGTCATCGTCGTCGTCGTCGCCGCCGCCGCCGTCGTCGTCGTCGTCGTCGTCGTCGTCGTCGTCGTCGTCGTCGTCGTCGTCGTCGTCGTCGTCGTCGTCGTCTGAATGGCGCGGCCTTGGGGGTTCACGATGACGGCCCCGGGGAGACAGGCCCTGGCGGGTCTTCGTAGGCCGAGAAGTTGTGCTGAGTCTGGGGCGGCCTTGGCACCCCAGCCCATCCTGGGCGCAGAGCCCGCCAGGGCGGGAACGCCGAGCATTGACCCTGGTGGCCCGTTCAGGGCAGCTATATGACAGCCTGCGGGGTTCGTCGTGGTCCTCGTGGTCGCAGCTGCTGTTGTCGTTCGTGGTCGCGGTGGCCGCCATCGTCGCACGAGGAATGGTAGGGGGAAGAGGAGGAGGAGGAGGAGGAGGAGGAGGAAGAGGAGGAGGAGGAGGAGGAGGACGAGGACGAGGACAAATAGAAGAAGGAGGAGGGGGAGGAGGAGGAGGACAGAGGAGGACAGAGGAGCATAGGGGGGGACTGGGGGGTGGGATCGAGGGGGGGGGGAGAGATGGCAGAGGAAGGGCACAAGCGGGAGGCGGGAGCAGAGGAGAGGGAGCCAGAGGTGGCGCTTGAGAGCAAGCACGACCCCCCCTGGGGGAAACCAAAACGTGCCGATACCGCTGCTCCCCAGACATCTCCCGGGGTGCGTTTTGACCAGAGCTTCGAGGCGAATCCAGCGGTGGCGACGAGGGCCTCCGAGGAGGCCCCAGAAAAGGGCGAGAACGGAGCGAGGATGTAGGGGTGAGGGTGTCCTGTTTCCTCCTCTGGTATGTGGATGCCGCAACGGTGCCCTTCAGCCTCAGACCTCCGACGTCATGATCTTGTTGAGAACGTCCATCCCCGCAAGTCTCGACCCATTCCCCGGGGACCGGTTTTTGTTCATCCTGGGTCGTCGCAGTTACGGTCCCGAGGGCCGGTAAGGCCCCCCACAGGCCGAGCGTAGCGAAGCATTGCCCGCCGTGATTTTGATTATGAGGGGGTCCGGGGCCCCAGGCCCCCCTCCCGCGCAGCCCTTCGGTGCGGGCGGGCGTTCTTTCTACCCCACGGCGAGCGCTCGTTATCGCCAGGGGGGCCGTGGAGGCCCGTGAGCGCGGGCCACGGGATGCTCTTGTGCGTCCTGGGGGAGGGCACCCCTGGAACGTTCTGCAGTCTTGGCGGCCGAGGAACTCATGTTCTTGACGGATCCTCCTCCTCCTCCCTCTCCCTCTCCTCCTCCTCCTCCTCCTCCTCCTCCTCCTCCTCCTCCTCCTCCTCCTCTCCTCCTCCTCCTCCTCCGCCTCCTCCTCCTCCTCCTCCTCCTCCTCCTCCTCCTCCTCCTCCTCCTCCTCCTCCTCCTCCTCCTCCTCTTCCTCCTCCTCCCTCCTCCCCTCTTTCTGTCTTAGGTCCGACCGTAATCATTTTTGGCCCCCGAGGCGCCAGCCAGGGCTGCCCCCGACCGCCCCAACCCCGAGGACTCGGGGCTCTGACGCCTCAGCCTCCTGGTTTTCTCTTGCCGCTCATCCCTCCTCCTTCCTCCTCCTCGTTCTCCTTCTGCTCCTTCTCCTCCTCCTCCCTTCTCCTCCCCCTCGTCCTCCCCTCGTCTCCACCCCACGAACAGGCCAGCTTCATTCCAGCGTTAATGCCCCTCCTCCTCCTCCTCCTTCCCTCTCCTGCTCCTCCTGCTCCTCCTGCTGCTCCTCCTCCTCCTCTTCCTCCTCTTCCTCCTGTTCCTCCTCCTCCTCCTCCTCCTCCTCCTCCTCCTCCTCCTCCTCCTCCTCCTCCTCCTCCTCCTCCTCCTCATCGCTCCTCGCCTTCGCTCCTCCTCCTCCTCCTCCTCCTCCTCCTCCTCCTCCTCCTCCTCGTCCTCTGCCGTGGATGTGGATGCAAATCGTGCCCGCACCAGCACTCCCGCTGCGAGCCTCTCGAGGGCTCTCTCTCTCTCTCTCTCTCTCCCTCTGCAAGCGAGCCGGGCCTCCTGGCTCCCTGCGCCCAGGCCGGGGACGCCTTCGGCAGAACCCTTGACACGGACACCACCTGCAAGCTACTCCGAGCTTCTTAGAAAGCGTCGGGGGGGCGTCACCCCCGCCGACGGCCCCGCATCGACCCCCGTCGCGGACAGCCACCGCGCCTCGAAGGCGTTCCGACCCCCGTCGCGGCGCGACGACAAGGCGAGGTTGACCCCCGTCGGGGGGGTACCCCCCCACGCTTATTTAGACACCGAGAGTTGTGACTTGCGCACCCTGCCGTTGCAGAGCCATGGGCTCAGACTCGTCGGAAGTTGCTGGCCCGTTTATTGTTGCGGAAAAGATCCGGAGGTTGATAGACCGGCTACCCTGACACGTCGATCAGCGAATTGGCCGTTTTCGGTTCGGGAGCGGGCGTCGTGGCCGTCATTTTCGCGGGTCCAGGTCTGTCGGTTTCGGTCCTGGGCCGTTTTCACCACAGGGTAGTTTATTCAAGGGAGGTTTGTCCACCGCCGAAAGGTATAATCAAGCAGTGGCGAATCGCCCTGGCTTGCCCATGGTCCCGCCAAACAATGTTTGAATAACTTTGTGTAATTAGTGTGCACGGAATGTTCTTCGAACATTTCTGGCTGGGACTGTTTTTTTACATCGGCTGTCGGAGGTTGGGGGGTGAGATCGAAGTGGAACGGAGATCCCCCCTACCTGGAAATTGATTTCGATTTCGTGTTCGTGCGTGCCGTGCGGGCGAGGCGAAGCTGCGTGGGCGGGCGAGAGAAAGTCTCCTGTGGCTGAGGCGCGGCCGGACCAAATGACTCCCTTCCGGGCGGCCGGGGCCCCGCGGTGTCCCGCCGGTGTCCCGCTGGTGTCCCGTGTGGCTGAGGCGCGGCCGGACCAAATGATTCCCTTCCGGGCGGCCGGGGCCCCGCGGTGTCCCGCCGGTGTCCCGCTGGTGTCCCGTGTGGCTGAGGCGCGGCCGGACCAAATGATTCCCTTCCGGGCGGCCGGGGCGGCGCGGTGTCCCGCCGGTGTCCGCCGGTGTCCCGTCCGGTGTCCCGATGATGATGTTGATGATGATTATGATGATGATTCTGATGATGATGGTGATGATGATGATGATGATGATAATGATGATGATGTTGATGATGGCGATGATGATGATGATGATGATGATGATGATGATGATGATGATGATGATGATGATGATGATGGTGATGATGATGATGATGATGATGTTGATGTCGATGTTGATGATGATGATAATGATGATGATGATGATGATGATGATGATGATGATGATGATGATGACGTCGATTGCGAGATCGATTGTGATATCGGTAGTGAGACCGAATGTGAGATCGATTGTGCGATGCTGATGGTGATGATGGCCTTCATGGTGTTGATGTTTGTGATTATGATGACGACATTGATGATGATGATGATGATGATGATGATGATGATGATGATGATGATGATGATGATGATGATGATGGTGATGCTGATGATCATGATGAGTACGATGATGATGATGCTGCTGATGATGATGTTGATGGGCGGAGACACGGAGAGAGCGGCATGTGCGTCGAGCGGCATGTGTGTCGAGCGGCATGGTGGGATCGTGTGTGGGATAATGAGACCGGCCGAGAGAGATCGATGATGAGATCGATTGTGAGATCGATGGTGAGATTGATCGAGTGAGATCGATGAGTGAGACCGATAAAGAGATCGATAGTGAGATCGATAGTGCAAGAGGGGGCGCGGGCTGCGCCAAGCTTTGCCAGCGCTTCAGTCTTCTGTGGCCAAATGGCGCCGTTAGCTGCCGTTGCGCAAGTTGGGCAGGTTCCCAGGGGGAGGGCCGAATGGTACCAAGGCGCCAAAGAGCGAAGGGTGACGTAAACAACTCGACACCAACGCTCCCAAGAGCGAGCGGCAACGCAACTATCTCCACTGGCATTGTCACAACAACATTCACCACTGTTGCCCATTGCTGGGCCCCTCCCCCGCCAACCTCCTTATCACCCGCAGGGTGGTCGTATAGGTATGTTATAAGAATCTCGCTTTGGTTATTGGACAATCTTTGGGTCCCAGGAAATTGCGTGGTTTGCCTCCTGGAATACCGGGACAGTCGGTCCTTGCTGCTCAAAGCACTGATTTCCCACCTCCGTCTGTAAGCCCCTGGGGGTCTCATGCAGTCTCAGCGAGGCAGTTTGAAGGTAGGCGAGCTTGCTTCGGCAAGCAGCTCACCGCAAGGCCAGGAGTCCTGCTTGGGCAGCGCTTCCCCCATCCTACTGCGTTGACCTGCTCTCAAGCAGTGGCGAAGCGTCTTTGTTTGCCTGAAGGCCCACCGACCGATGTTCTAAGAACCTGGTGTGGTTTGCACGACACGTTCTTGGAACATTTCTCCCTGAGCCTGTCTTGTTTCAGTACATCGGCGTTCTGTTCTAAGAGCACTGCCTCTGTCATCAGGCCGTCCCGTTGTTCCAGGAGCATGTCGTGGAGGCCCACAGGCATGCCAGGACGGCTGGTCCCTGCTCCACGATGCGCGACCGTCTCGGGACCCCCCCCCCATGCTCACCATCCTCTCCCTTCGGGCCGACGGGAGCTCCCACCCGAGCTGGGCCCCCACCCGACGGGCGCGAGCCGTCGAGCACCGCCTCCCCGCGCGCGGCGCGCGGCGCGCGCGCGGCCGCGCGCGCGCAGCGCCGCGGCGCCGCGCGCCCCGCCAATGGAGGCGGCCGCGGGCAGGGCCGGTTGGCAGCAGGCGGTCGGCCTGCTGTGGGGCTCGGGGCGCTCGGACGGCGGTCCTCGAAGGGCACAGGCGGTGTACACTGCATCCTCGGGGGACCCTTTTCTGCGTTCTGTAGGAGTGGCCGTTTCATTTCTTTTTACACGGGTTCGGCACGGGCTCGACACTTGCTCGACACGGGTGCGGCACGGATGCGACGTGGATCGCGGCGCGGCGGGACAGACAAGGCCCCCCGAAGATGCAACACAACAGGCGGCATAAACATAACCGCGCGGATGTCTTCGATCAGCGTTGGAGCCCCCCTGGCGTCGCCTCCGGCGCCGCCCCTGGCGCGGGTCCAAGTAATCCGCGCGGATCTTCAAAAGTTCTTTATATTTCTGCAGATTGTTGTTCCTCGAGGTCTGGCGGGCGCTGTGGCGCTGGCCCGGGCCCTCGACGCGTGCGCGCGGGGCAGCGCGGCGGGGCAGGCGCTGAGGCTGCTGCGGGAGGCGCCCGAGCGGCTGGGGATCCAGCCCAACTCGGTCGTCTACAACGCCGCGGCGCACGCGTGCGGGAAGGTCGGCCTCTGGGCGGAGGCCCTGGGGCTCCTGGCCGCCATGCGGGCGCACCCGGGCCTGCGCCGGGACGCCGCCAGCTTCACCTCGGCCGTGGCGGCCTGCCGGCGCGCGGGGCGCTGGCGCCAGGCCCTGCAGGTGCTGGGCGAGGCCGTGCGCAGTGGCGTGAAGCTGGACGTCGCCCTGTGCGCCGCGGCCAGGGTCGGGGAAGCGCAGGGCTCGAGTTTTTGCCAGAGCTCGGGCTTGCCGGGTCGCTCTTGGGCGGGCCCGTCCCGAGTTTTGAGGGTCCGAGTTCCGGTGGGATCTCTGCAGCGGGAGTTCGCGTGGAATTTCGGGTGGGTCTCGCCATTCTTGTTGACCGCCCCCCAGGCCAACTCGAGTCCTCCAGACTCGAGTCTTAAACACAACGAGTGCGAGCATCCGGAAGGACGGGTGGGCAAGAAGAGTGCGCGGTTGGCAAATCTTCAGGACATGCAAGGAAAACGTTGCAAATCGATTGCGTGCGCACGGGAATCCGACTGGGGAGCACAATTCGAACGCAACGCAGAGAAGTGGAACGCAACGCAGAGAAGTGGAGTACAAATCGATTGCGTGCGCACAGCAATTCGAAGCGCCCAAACGCAAAGCATCACGACTGCGACTCGAGTCCTACGTCTGCCCGAGATGGGGGCCCTCGAGCGGGGTCAGCAGTGGCAGTCCGCCCTGCGGCTGCTGGGCCGAATGGCGGCCGCGGCGGTCATAGGGAACCGAAAAAATGACATAAACATAACGGAGGTCCACGCGGATTGCCCGGATCGGCGCTGAACACCCCCCTCCCTGACTCGCGGAGCGCGCCAGGGGCGGCGCCTGAGGCGCCGCCAGGGGGTCCGGCGCCGATCCGAGAGATCCGCGCGGACCTCCGCATTGTTATGTTTATGTCGTTGTTCGTTCCCCTAGGTCGGGCGCAACGAGGTCGCGTGCAACGCGGCGCTCAGCGCCTGCGCCCGCAGCGGGCGGTGGGAGGCGGCGGCGCAGCTGTCGAGGGAGGCCCGCGAGGACGCGCTGCCGTGCTCTGCCGTGGGGCTCAACACCGCAATCGTGGAGCCGGCCGGGGGTCTGAGGTGGCTTCTTCACAGTGGGTTCCACCCCGGAGTTGCCACGAGGCGGCTCCAGGGTGGCATCTTGAGCCTGTTTTTTTTGGATTCAGGCAAGTTTACTTGCATGGCGTTCGCCCCCCCCCCCCCCCCTCGCCCCTCTTCAAGCGAATACTAGCGTGCAAGTGCCTTTCGACTTGCGTGATTTCCGCGCCCCCCCGAACGTGCAAGTCGTTTGCGGCTTGCTTCAGGCTCAGCCCCCCCCCCCCGTCCATGCAAGTAAACTTGCCAGAGTCTTAAAAAAAACAGGCTTCTTCTCAACCCCGTACTACTTTTGTTCGGCCTTTGGCCGAGGGCGTTTAGGCCTTTCGGCAGCCTGTCGCCATCAACAACCACGGGGGCTGAAGGTGGCGCAGCACTGGCCTTGCGTCTGGCGTGGCCCACTACAGGAGGCATATTCCAGAATAGTCAAAAAATTGTCTGGGCACGGTTTGTCGACGATGTTTCTGGCCATTTTGGAATCTGGTTTGACTACTTGTCATTTTTCGTCCAGAACCCGCCTGTATTGTCGGGGCGCTGAAGAAGGAACCCTTTTCGTTGGGGAGGGGCTCGGTGTTCCTTGATTGGTTTGCAGTTTGCCTTGGGTGTTTCTGAGGTCTTCTATGGGGAATCGAAGTTTAACGTATGGGAAAAATGGCCTCGTTCCTTATTTAGGGTTCCTTAGGTCAACGCCCCGACTGTAAGAGGACACGCCCGACCTAACACTGGCCGAGGCGAGCAGGAAGGGGGGCCGGCTCGAGGTGCTGGGTTCAGGGAGGTCTCCCGCCTGTGTCGGGCTCCAGGGGTCCGTTTTCGGGCCAGCGAACCGCAAAATTCGGATTCACGAGGGTGAAGCGATGTTGGACTCTCACCTCCCCCTCCTCGCTCCAGGTCGCGCGCGAGCGTGCGCCACGCAGCATGTATGCCGCAATTTGGGTGTCGAGGGTGGGGCCGCTTGTCCCGCCCTCCCGCTCCCTTTGCGCTGGTAAGTAGTTGGGGCTGGGAGCGGCCTACGAGAGCGTTCGCATGGCCAGTGCAGAAAGAGCAGGAGGATTAGGAGGGGAGCTAACAGAGTGATCTTGGGTGAAGACTACACCAGCTGGACCCCGGGAGGGGTCCAGGGACCACGATGCTGAGCAGATTTGCCTTGAAGTCCCATCATCTGCACAGATTTTCTCGGGGCCCATCTAGTTCACACCTCGTGGCAGCCTCCAACCGGAATCAGCGCCGCCCAGCCCCCGATGTTGAGCAGATTTGCCATGCAGTCCCCTCCTCTTTACAGTTTTCCGCGGGGCCCATCCAGTTCACACCCCGTGGCCGCCTCCAACCGCAATCAGTGCCGCCCAGCGCGGCCAGGCCTGGGCGCAGGCGCTGGCAGGGCTGAGCGCGATGCCGTCCAACCGCCAGGGTTCCGACCTTGCCGCCCTCCAGTCTCTCTCGGGCGCCTGCGCAGCGAGCGGCGGGTGCCGGGACTTCTTCAGGGCGGCCTCCCAGATGCGCAGGCGCATCGTCCGGACGGGTGCGGGCGGGAGCGCCGTTGGCCAGCGGCCCTTCTCGGGCGGCGAGGTCATCGGGTCCGTCGGGGAGCTGCAGGCGCTGGGGCTGCTGGAGGGGCGCCCCGGGAGGCTGGTCTGGTGGTGCACGGAGTCGGTGGCGATGGGCGCCCTGCGCAGCGTGCCGCAGGGCGCCCAGGGCGCCGGCGGCTCCGGGGGGCGGGCAGGCGGCAGTGCTCGAGTGGCGACGGCGGCGAGCGGGGGCGACGAGCGCCACCACCCGCTCGCCGACGCCCTCTTCGACGTCGGAGCGCCGACCACCAGGACCTGCCTGCAGCTCGTGGCGCGCGGCTGCAGCTCGGGGGGCCCACCCTCTCGGAGGAGGGCCAGTTGAGGCAGCGGCGGATCTCTCGCCCGGCCCAGGGCTGTTCAAAATCGGTCTGTGGTTATTAAGCATGACGCTGCCCATGACCCTACTAACGCAATGAACTCGTGACCTACTGATGTCCCCGGTTTTTAGGGACGTCCCTAATTCTGCATTTGGGTGGTTCGTGTGACACATCTGCAACACACAAAGCCATCCCTTCTGCGTTTGGCCTTCCTGATACTTAGCTCCTCTCCGAAAATTGTCAGGGGCACCTTTATTGCGACGCATATGATCTCCCCGAGCCCCTTGGTGACTGCTTCAGGTCCTCCTCCTCCTGCTCCTCCTCCTGCTGCTCCTCCTCCTCCTGCTCCTCCTCCTCCTCCTCCGCATCCTCCCCCTCCTCCTCCTCCTCCTCCTCCTCCTCCTCCTCCTCCTCCTCCTCCTCCTCCTCCTCCTCCCCTCCTCCTCCCTCCTCCTCCTCCTCCTCCTCCTCCTCCTCCTCCTCCTCCTCCTCCTATCTATGCTAGTGATGGTGGGAAAGGGAGCCCATCCGGGCCGCTTCGCCGGCGTCCCATACGGACCCGCGTGGCGCGGCGGAGCCAGCCTCTCGGCGACGGGCCGCCTCCAGAGGAGGCGCGCCGCAAGAGGCCGAACAGAGGCCAGGGAGGGCCGCCGTGGCCTGAACTTCGCAGGCGGTGGCGAAGCGTCCTGGCTCGCCCATAGGCCCACCCAGGCATGCTCGAAGCACTTCTCGTGGTCTGCACGGAACGTTCTTAGAACATGGTTCTGGCTGACACTGCTTGTTTTGACACATGGGGCTTCTGTTCCAAGAGCGCTGTTTTGGTTATCGGAACGTGTTTTGGGATCTAAGAACAGGCCTATACGAATGCCAGGACGGTCGGTCCCAGTTCAATGAATTGTTCCTCCTCCGACCTTGAGATATGACCTGGCGTGGCGATGCACAACCAGAGCCCTAGACCCTAGTGCATTTTTCGAGCCAGATCGCTCTGTGATGGCCCTGGGGACCGAACACACAGCAGAATCGCCCGTTGTGACAAAACAAAGAAAACGGCGCCATGCTCTCGGGGCCCGATGTGGACGAAGAGCGCCTGAGAGAGCCGCCGCGATCCCGACTGGCCCGTCTCCGATCCTCCACCCCGTCTCGAAGAAGAAACAGCTGCATACACATGATCGTTAGGAGCTCCGTTTGGACATCTTGGACCGTCGCTGAATCCCCCTCCCCGGCGCGCCTCCGACGCCAGGGGGTCCAGGCGCCAATACATGAAGTCCGCACGGAGCTCCAACAGTCCACGTAGCACCCCGCAGTTGCGGATAGGAGTGAGGGGGCGTGGGTCGCGGGGTGGGTCGCGGGGTGGGTCGCGGGTTGGGTCGCGGGTGAGGAGGAGGAGGAGGAGGAGGAGGAGGAGGAGGAGGAGGAGGAGGGGGAGGAGGAGGAGGAGGAGGAGGAGGAGGAGGAGGAGGAGGAGGAGGAGGAGGAGGAGGAGGAGGAGGGGGTCGCGGGGTGGACCGCGGGGGGGTCGCGGAAACCAGGAGAAGAGCAACAACCGCAAGCAGCAAGCAACAAGGAGCCAGTGGCCACGGGGTCCCACTTTGGCCACGCACCCAGGGACACCGACTTCAAGGGGTGCCAGATAGGACCCCAGGGGCATGGACGCTTCGAGACGAGCAGCGATGCAGATTTCTCAAGTCCGCGCGGCCTCGCGCGCATGTGCGCCGCAGGGCGCACTGAGAAGTCTCGAATGCGACGCCGCGGTCTCGGAAGCCCCGGTCGCTGGCGCCCCCCTTGGGACGCACATCGTGACTGACCGTTCGGGCCCCTCCACCCTGATGTCCCCAGACGTCCGCCGACATGTTTTTTGGGATCCACGGCCCCATAGAGGCCCCAGACCTCTTCCCCGGGGGTGGCTTTTCGTCCCAGATCCATGTTTGATGGCCCACGGGCCCCATTTGACGGTCCCCGGAAGCCGAAGTCCATGAAAAACCGCCAGATTGAAAAAAACAGATTCTCGGATCTCCCCAGACATGCGACGTCCTGATGTTTTCAGTGCGGCGTCCCCTGAAGTCCCGACTCTTTCCCCGGGACCAGTTCTTCATCCCGGGCTGCACCCGAGGCCGAAAACTGCCAAACACCTGCCGCCTTGATTCTTGTACGACGCGGGCATGTCTGGCCCTGGGTTTATGCTGAAGCCGGGCCTGTCCCTCTACAGGGGGAATGTTCAAAAATAGTCAAAACATAGTTTGGGGATTATTTGTTGAGCATGTTTCGCTCCTTTCGGGGATTTGTTTTGTATGTTCTGGTTTTTCGCCCAAAATCCGCCTGCCAACTGGCGCCGGCGGTGAACCGTCAACCTGGTCACCGCCGGGAACCTCGTAGAGCTCCTGTCACTGCTAAGAGTGCAGAGAATCGACACAGAGTGAAAGAATGGAGATTTTTCGAAAATCTTTATTTTCGATTTTTTCGATATTCATATTCGCTCAGTTCCCGGACAGGCCCGACCTAAGTTTATGCAGTGTTTTTTCTCCGCCGCGTCGTCCTGGGAGCACGGCGCGCGCTCCCGGCTCCACGCGGCGCTGCGGCCGCCGCTGCTGCCGGCGGCGACCACGCTCCAGCTCGCGGCCTGGCTCGCCTTCGACCTCGGGGGGCTCCGCGGGGCGGCGGGCCCGGACCACGGGGAGGGAGGCTGCGCGAGCGAGGGTCCCCCATGCTCCTCCTCCTCCTCCTCCTCCTCCTCCTCCTCCTCCTCCTCCTCCTCCTCCTCCTCCTCCTCCTCCTCCTCCTCCTCCTCCTCCTCCTCCTCCTCCTCCTCCTCCTCCCCCTCCTCCTCCTCCATTGAATCCTGCCCTGGGACCTTTGAAGCCTGGGTGTGCGGCCAGTGCTCGGCGACGTGGGCCTTTGTTCGCGAGTACGACCTCCCTCCCTCGCTGCGGCAGGACCTCGGGGTGCACTCGACCTGGGCCCTCTGGAGGCACGCCCTGGACCCCGATCCTCGGCCCTCTGTCCCTGGCCCTGCGTCCTCCTCCTCGTTCAGTGGCTCAAGCGGCGTGGATCTGGTAGCATCGAAGGCGAGGCCTTCGGTGACGGCTCCTGTACCTCGCCTGTACATGGAGACCCCCGACTGAGCCGAGCGGGCTGGTCAGTGGTCCAGGTGGACTGGCAGGGATGCTTGGCCGCCTCCTTGTGCGGCCCGCTCCCTGGACCGCACCAGGCGTCGGACCTCGCTGAGGCCTTTGCCCTCCTCATGTACCTGACGCATGTGGCCTTGTGGCCCCACTGCTTCCACTTGGATTGCGCCTGGGTGGTTTCCAGCTTCGAGCGCGGACGCGCCGAGACCACTGGAGCCCAGTGCGAGGCCGCCGACCTCTGGGCTCGCATATGGGATCGGGTGGACGACCTCGGAGGCGATATCACGATTGTGAAGGTCGAGGGCCACGTTTGACGCTGCAACGACAGTGCCGTCGAGCTGGCTTGATCAAGCGCTGGGGGAAGCACTATGCGGACCTTGGCGGTCGGGAAGGAGCGACCCTCCACCCCACGGACAGTGCTGCGGTGGTACAGGTTCGGCGCACCTTTCACCTGGTGACCCTTGTTGCAAGGTTCTTGGCTCGGGTGCTGCGCTCAGCGGACCCCAGCCAGCAGGATGCGCCGCGACACGGCCACCTGCGACGTGCGCGGCGCAGGGGGCTCGTCCCTGAGCTGACGGCAGGCAAGGTGCTGCCTGCTGGCACGCACGAGCCAGTGCCGTGCGGCAAGGGCTTCCGATGCTGCCGTTGCTTCCGCGTCGCCAGGACGCGTGATGGCTACACGCCTGCGACGTGCAGCCCAGGCGGTGGCCACCGCGTGTGGTGCGTGGGCCCATTTCTCTTCTGCGCGAGGTGCGGAGAGCAGTCGAGCGAGAACGTTCAGCTCATCGCGCAGCCTTACCGCGGGGTGGTTCCTCCGCAGACGCGGTCCCGCCTGCCGCCTGTGGGAGGGCAAGCACCCGCGCACTGGCCTGCCGTTGCCAGCGGCCAGGTTAGGCCACGGCCGTTCGCGGACTACGTCCTCGACAGCCTGGTCGGAGACCTGGTTGTCGTGGACGAGGATGCGGACGGTGCGTAGGCCCCTGGCTGCGCCTGCTGGCACTCCCCGTTGGGGAGGTGCTCGGGCTCCTTTCCCTCGGTCGGGCTTGCGCCCGGGCCGCCTAGTTGTGCTTGCACGCTTGGCGCCGCGCCTGATGAAAAATTCCTCCTCCTCCTCCTCCTCCTCCTCGTTCCTCCTCCTCCTCCTCCTCCTCGTTCCTCCTCCTCCTCCTCCGCCCTCCTCCTCCTCCTCCTCCTCCTCCTCCTCCTCCTCCTCCTCCTCCTCCTCCCCCATCCCTTCCACTTATAAATAACTCCTCCCTGTCGCACCCCGAGGCCAGTTTTTAGGGCGGGCCGGGCGTTTCGCTTGAGACGTCCTCACAAATTTATGGCCTTGAGCCAAAGAAGTGACACCCGTTTCACATATGGAGGACGGGTCGTTTTCAAAATGTGGCTCTCGCCATTGCGCCGCGCACATTCGCTTTAAGAATTTGCAAGGGCTTCACGGATGGAGGACGGGTTGTTTTCAACATGTGGATCTCGCTTTAGCGCCGCGCGCATTCGGTTACAAAAAATGGCAAGAGCTTCGCGGATTAAGAGCGGGTCGTTTTCAAAATGTTGCTCTCGCTTCAGCGCCGCGTACACTCGGTTAACACATTTGCAATAGCTTCACGGATTGAGGGCGGGTCGTTTTCAAGATGTTGCTCTCGCTTCAGCACCGCGCGCATTCGTTTTTGTTTTGATGTGCAAGAGTTCCACGGATTGAGGGCGGGTCGTTTTCAATTCTCGTCTAAGCGCCGCGCACATTCGATTTACAAACTTGCAAGAGTTTCACGGATTGAAGGCGGGCTGTTTTCAAAGTGTGGTTCTCGTTAAAGCTCCGCGCACACTTGTTTTAACAATTTGCAGGAGCTTCACGGATTGAGGGCGGTTCCTTTTCAAAATGTGGCTCTCGCTTTTGCGCCGCGCACATTCGTTTTCCAAATTTGCAATAGTTTCACGGGCTCCCATGATCAACGTACCAGAAACAATGTTTTGGAAGGGGTCAACGTTATGTGGGTGCAACAGTTAAGTTGACTCGCGGTGTTGAAGTCCCAGAAATCGCGCATGCTTCAGGATCTTCAAACGGTTGTCTTCCAACGAGGCAGTTCCCTTAATGGAAATGAACCGCTGTGGGGACCCATGAAGAGGGAGCTTGGAGGAAGGGTTAATTCCAACATCGTTAACGATTCTTGGTTTTACACTGGTCCTTCTCCTCCTCCACCTCCTCCTCCTTCTCCTTCGCCTACTCCTCCTCCTCCTCCGTCTCCTTCTCCTCCTCCTCCTCCGCCCTCCTTCTCCTCCTCCTCCTTTTCCTCCTCCTCCTCCCTTCGACAGAGCGAGCTGCCATATGCCGGAGCGCGCGGGCAAAAGGCAGTCTCGGCCTGATCTCACGGCTCTGCGGAAGCGGTTGCAGGCGTTGGCGGGAGCGACTTACAGCGCGCGTGCCACGATAGTCTGACGTGTTGTGAAACATCGCGACGTTTTTGACTTCAACCACATACCGGCCGCTGGGGGGCCTCACAGGGCCCCGGGACCGTCCAAAAGCAACTCAGGATGGTAAAGCTGGTCCCCGGGAAGCGGTCAAGACCTCGGGGGTCCACATCATGTATAGGGGTCAGGGGGGAGAGGGAGAGATGTTTCAGGGCGTGCGTACCGTGGCTCCCCACCGCCACCGTCCATTCACGCTTACACCAAATGCCTCTCCCCCCTGGCTCTGTCTGGAATCCGTGTCTTGCTTCCCACGCCGGATTTCAAACGTTTGTTCTTCTTCGGGCGGTCAGCAAACCGATGTTCTCGTTCGGTGTTTCAAAATGATGTTCCCGCTGCAGCGTGGGCCTCGGATCGGCGCTTTGCTCCCGTCGTTCAGAATGGCTGGCTCGTCCCAGCGCGGGTGTCTTGTCTGGATTCGAATCCGCTTTCGTCGTTACCGCCCCTTTCATTGTCCCTCCTCCGCCTTCTCCTGATCCTCCTGCTCCTCCCGCTCCTTCCACTCCAGCTCCCGCTGGTGCTGTTCGGCATCGTCCTCCTCCTTCCTTATCCTCCTCCTTTTCTCCCTGCTCATCCTCCTTCTCGTCCGCCACCTGCTATTCTAATGTGTACGCAGCTCCTTTCTCCCCGATCGCGAACCACACGATTAAAGTATCTTCGGAGTTCCAGGCCCGCTGCGACACGCGTCGGCGGACGGAGGTGAGCAGCGCAATGGGTAGGATGTCGGATACGGCGCGAGCGCACCTGGCTTGTCCTCGCTCGCCTCTCGTCTCCCCCCTCTCGCCTCCCCACCCATCTTCTGCTCCCCCCGTACCTTTTTCTGGGCGCGTACGTCAGGCAGGGAAGCACAGGTCTCCCTATCATCCTCTCCGTGGGCAGGCAAGCATGGGTCTCCCTACCATCCCTTCTGCGCTGCCGTGCACTGGGTGCGTGCGTGTGCACGCGTCCTTTTCCTCCGTTGGGCGCTCACGACCACGAGTCGTTTGCGCCTCCCTGGCATTGCTCCGCTGTTTCCATTCGCCCTCCCCATCCGTCCCCTTCCGTCTCCGTCGAGCTTCGCGCCAAGGTTCCTCCTCGATCGGCCCCTTAGGTTGTCTCGTCTCTCTCTCTCTCTCTCGCTCTCTCCCCCTCAGTGGCGTGCAATCCTCCGAGCTTCGAGGGGCGGACCGCGTCGAGCGAGACGAGGTTCCAAAACACCGCCTTCGACGGCCCTCCCCCGGCCTGCGCTTGGGGGTGGAGGGCAGCAGCACCACGGGCGCGACCGAGCTCGCGTCCGAGGTGGAGGGCAGCAGCACCGGGACGGCAGGCACGACCAACAGGCTAGGGCAGCAGCAGAGCGAGGTTGCGCTGGGTGGAGGGCGGCAGCACCCAGCGCGCTCCGCGACTCGCAAAGTCTGCCTGCTCGCACAAGTCTGACAAGCCATGTCTTCCTCGGTGGAATGGATCGTGAAATCCCTCGCGGCGGGTCCGGGCCATCTGCGAGTAGTTATTTTGCCAGTAGTGGAAAGCGTTTGTCTACGAACGGCAGGGAGTCCTTGAGGTGCAGGTGTAGGAGATAGGAGCCCCCTCCTCCTCCTCCTCCTCCTCCTCCTCCTCCTCCTCCTCCTCCCCCTCCTCCCCCTCATCATCATCAGCATCATCAGCATCAACATCAACATCATCATGAGTATCACCATCATCACCAGCAGCATCATAATCATGATCATGATCATCATCATCATCATCATCATCATCATCATCATCATCATCATCAGCATCAGCATCATCATCATCATCATCAGCATCATCAGCAGCAGCAGCATCATCACCGTCATCAGCATCACCATCCTCTCCCTCCCCTCCTTTTACAACTGCACCGTGCGAGTATTACTCTCATCTCTCCCCCCTGGTCCTGCGCCAGTGTGCCCCCCCAACTCTGTCGCGCATTGGCTCCGCGCACACACGCATGCGATTTCAAACATTGATGTTCGTCCCATGCGTTGTGATCGTTCTTTCATTAATTGTTTTGCCGATCGGCGCGGGCCCTCGCACACCCCCCCATGGAGTAGGTCTTGGCTGTTTTTGGCGTCTGTTCCAGGCTGGTGGGGTCCCTCCCTCCCCCATCGGCCGCACTGCTGCAAACAGTCGCACTAAGCAGAGTTC